TTGCAGACGAGTTTACCATGGTGGAGCCCGAGCTCCCGACAGATATGGGCTTCGATCCTTGGTCGCCTCGCCTTGGATCAGTGGGATCCGCGGGCTCAGCTGCAACTGTTTCGGAAGACGCCAAAGCCGCAATTATTAGTGCAGCAAAGGTCGAGCTTGCGCGGGACATTACAACCTTGACCAACTTGACGTCCAAGTATTACGCCGGAATCGCCTTTTCGGTTTACGCAAGGGCAATCTATGCTGTAAACAACATCGCCGGAGATACCTCATTCACAGCCAGCTCACTCACCAAGCTTGAGGCTGCGTTTGACAAGTATGTCAACAATCAGGAGCCAAACCCTCTGTTCTACGACGACGTGTGGAAAGGCCTAGTTTCTTCGGGATCGTACGGCAATAATGATTCATCGATCGATTTTGGTAACACGTATTACAACGATCACAACTTTCACTACGGCTACTATGTGTATGCTGCTGCAATCATTGCCCACTTCAACCCATCTTGGTTGACGAAGAATGATGGTCTCAACAAGATTTGGGTCAACAATTTAATCCGCGATTGGTCCAACCCATCTACCGAAGACCCTTTCTTTCCCTTCTCACGAAACTTTGACTGGTTTCACGGCCATAGCTGGGCCAGAGGTGTACTCGAAGCGCCGGATGGCAAGGACCAAGAGTCATCTGCCGAGGATGCTTTCTCAACGTACGCGATCAAGATGTGGGGCAAGGTTATTGGAGACGCCAAACTTGAGGGACGAGGCAACCTCCAGCTTGCCGTGACGGCACGCAGTCTTCAGTCGTACTTCCTTATGGCTAGCGACAATGATGTGCAGCCGCCCAACTTTATCGGAAACCGCGCCACAGGCATTCTCTGGGACAGGAAGATCAACCACACGACGTACTTCGGCGACGAAATTGCCTATATCCAGGGCATCCATATGCTACCGATTGTGCCGAGCAGCGCCTATATACGGAAGGCATCCTTTGTGAGAGAAGAATGGGATCAGTATTTTGCCGGCAATAAGTCGGGATCTCTCACTAGCGGCGGCTTCGCGGGCCATGTGTACGCCAACCTCGCAATTGCGGATAAGGCTGGTGCGGTTGAAAGTTATGAGTTCATGAAGAAGCAGACTCCTGACAGCCCCTACCTGAGTGGAGTGAGTTTGACATGGAACCTCGCTTACACGGCGGCGCTGGGAGGCAGTTTGGGATCGAACTCTACGCTGAACTCAACAAGTCGGGCTGTCTAAAGTGAATGGCCAGCTATTTGTCTTGAGGTGCAAGTTGGAGTGAGCTGGATTTGAGTTTACGAGGCCATGTCCACGTCCTTGTACATAGGAAGGGCTTCGCGGAGTTGAGATGCGATTTGACCTGAGAGAGTCAGTCACATGTTCATGTAACAATGTAGTAGACAAGATAGCAAGAGCTCGCAACCTACGGGCAATTTTCCACCTTCTTGAAATTCGTTCCGAGAGCATCTGAATCACCTCTCGTAACAGATTCTCGGTGTCACGGCCGTAGTGTTTTGCTAGTAGGATTGCTGCTAAGCCGACCTTCTTGTACAGGACGACTGCAGTGAGAGGCATTCTGTCAAGTTTGAGAATGTCCACGGTCTTCTCCATACGCATCAGATCACCGGCAATGGCGAGGGCCATTTCAAGAGCGGCGACGGATGATTCCTTGACAAACGAAGGAAGTTCTTCCCCATCTTTACACGTCAGCCTTTTTTCGTGAAGTTCTATCAGTGCCCTTTTCTCTATTAGCTGCCGCTCCTTGACGTTTTTTGAAGAATGACTTGCAAGAGATACACAGTAACCACTGTGTACTGGTGCTCAAGCCGCCTCCAGCTTATGGTCAGGGTTTCTCGTATTTTCTTTTGTATCAGCATGTCGAGCTTCCACAATTCATGGTCAAGAAGTGTCCCAAGCTCGGCGGACGGATCTCTGGTGCGCTGCATGACACTCTGGAGCACATAGAGCGCCTGAATTTCGCTGGCGAAGACCCCGTAGGTCTGAACATCATCTGCAGAACATACAAGCGGTTGAAACGAGCCGCTGATACTGAGGTCTTGACTCCATGCGTCATCCTCTCTGGGAAGCATCGCGCCGAGTCGAGCATCGCGAACAAGTGGTGCTCGTTCAGAGTTCCCCGTAGAATAAATGTCAAGCCTATCGAGAAAGAATATAGCCCACCATACACGCATCTTCTCCTCACTGAACACTGTAGCAGGATCCAAGGTTTGGTATAGGCCGGTTATATGGCCAAGACTGGCACATATCGCCAGCGTGGCATACGCGTCAGACACGTAACCTCGGCCCTGCTCGTATATGGCGAGTAGTAGGCCTGACTGGATGGTGTGCAAATGACCTCTCGAATGTTTTTGCAACAGTAGGAATGACGACTTGCAATTGTCATAGAGCGATGGCAAGAGAGGTTCGTTATATGGCGTCGAAGCAGAGGGTATCACCGGGGTGATGAGTAGAATGTGTAAGAGAAGACAGGCGAGCTCGGCAGATGGCCTGCTCTGTAACGACGCTGCTTGTCTTCTCAAGCCGAGTGGATGAATGATTGGGATCCATTCGTGGATCGATCTCAAGTATCCATCAATCACCACCTCTATTCCAAGATCGAGGACTTTTAGCGTGGCGAACAGGTGTGCTGTTAGCAAGTCGTCATGGTCTTGGCTTGTTGCTAAGTTTGGTCCTAGAAAAGAAGAAGCATTCTCATGTGCCTCCTTGTAAGAACCGTAGTGACATATGCTACTGTGACTATGTGGTATCAGTAATTCGAACGCCGTGTAAGACAATACACGCTTGGTACTGACTCTATGCACCGGCTACAAGCCGGTAGTAGCCGATCGCAACCCTTCTTCTTTGTCGAGCACAAATGACAGGCGTTTGAGGACAGACTATCTGTCGACATACTCGCCTTAGTACAGGATCGACTTATCTTGACAAGCAACAGTTTTGAATGAGTTCGGGAGAAGTTTCGGAGGAGCCCGCAGAGCACTCCATAGCGCGGGTTGTTCCTGGGGGTTCAGGTTGCTGACAAACTGTTTCGGGTAGAATATTGAGCTAGTCCGCCGCTAGTCCGCCGCTGACCCGCCGCTTGCAGGGCCAAGACCGGGCCAACCCGCCGGAGTAGTGTCGGACAAGTGGTGTGCCAGGGCCCATCAATGCTACGATGCTCTGAAGGGGTTGTAACATTGATTCTAAGACCAATTGGCTGTCAAAACTCATCCCTTGTGATGGATAGCAGGAGTCGCTACTGACTGGAAACTGGCCACAATGTATCATGCCGATGGACTTCCTGAGGTTTCTGGGGCCGATGTCATAAATAGCCCAGCTTCTTCTCACTCTTCCCAAAGTCTCAAGACGGAACACAAATTTATCAGTTACATTGTTTAATAGTCTATTGCAACAATAAACAAGACCTCAATTCTATCATAATGCCAAATTCAGAGAAGATTCGCGCCCCTTCCCTTTTCATCAGCCATGGAGCAGGCCCCCTCCCCCTCATCCACCCAGGCTTGGAGGATTTCCGGCAGCAAGTCGCCAAATTGGGCAGTAGACTCAATGGAGTCAAAGGAATTATCCTTCTTTCAGCGCATTGGGAAACTGATGAGCCCGAAATCACTGCCCTCGAAGATCCTGGTCTCTACTTCGACTACGGAACTGTGGCCGCAGCCCAAGCCCTTGTTCCACCCGAGGCCTACGAGACTAAGTACCCCATCCTCGGAAACGCAACATTAGCCGCGGAAATTAACCAACGCCTCCTGAATTGCGGCTTCAGACCGGTCCTCGACTATAAGAGAGGCTTGGACCACGGCGTCTTTGTCCCGCTCAAGATTATGCGGCCCGAGGCAGACATACCTGTTGTCCAGGTATCTGTTCTCACTGGAAAGGACGAGGAAGAGGCCACAGACAAGAACCTGCGTCTAGGACGCGCCTTGGAGTGCTTTCGAGACTTCGGGTACGCCATAATGGGGAGCGGCGGGTCGTACCATGATTTCATGACCATGCAAGACGTTCTCCAAGGTTCTGGCAAACTTCCCTCGGGGGCCGAGGACTTTGAGAGCTACCTCAAGTCCACCGCATCAATCTCTGATGCGAATACTCGCGAGGAGGCTCTGAAGCACTGGCGGGATACCCCATCGAGTTATGTAGCTCATGTGAAAGCCGAGGCTGAGCACTTTTGGCCGTTTCTCGTTGCAGCTGGCAGTGGTGGAAACGTTTCTGGGCAGCAAATCCTCAAACTTCTATCCCAAGGTTTACCCATGAGCTTCTACGAGTGGTGAATAGTGACGTATGGGTAGGGGGAGGTCGCTGAATGGCAAATTGAGCCTGGGTGTTGGACGACTATGACTGTATGCCATTGATACATAGCCGAATAGCTTGCTTTGACAAGGACTACATACAACAAGACAGTCATTTCACAGATCCTCACACTATGGAACCGCTACTCAAGAGGAATCTCACTGCGCTATGACGCTATGGAAAGATTACAGGGCCGTCTGTGAATTGTAGGGAAGCCCAGTTATTGGCCTTATGGTCTGTTCACCGCGTGGCTGGCTGAGAGCCCAACCCAAACTTGCTTGCGTCCCCCGTGGCAAACATCTTCACCCCTGCTGAGAATGTGAAAGGCCACACGCTGTAGTTTTGGGTCCACAGTCGCTTTCTCGCGGTGCTTTCATGGCAGTTTTGCACACTATTGAAAGGTGTGGCTTGGCATGCTGGTAAAGGAGAGTGTCGAAGGGGGCTACGGCTAGGCAGGGCAGGGCACAGCACGGCCAACTTGGCGTTTTCTCATCGTTTGGTTCAGTCACTCATCACTCCATATAATGGTATCATTAGATTTAGATGAACATTGCATTAAATGGATGTCTTGAATGTTCATGGGTCTCTGCTCATGTGCCATGCGCCGTCACTGGGAATTGCGAACCCCAGGAAAATAAAATTGAATAAAACCCGCGCAACCCTTCCCCTTGCCTAAGAATCCCATCAACCAATCTCGACAGGCTTTGAACTGATGTAGAAGCCGTTTGATCTAGCCGGTGACTGGGGCGCCTCAACCACCGCTGGTGCTAATCTTGCTGAATCGCGGTTGTATGCAGGAGGTTGTGATAACGCCATCTCCTGCAAATTATCAAGAGCTTTCTGGTGTCGCTTGAGATACCTGCACCACGTAATGGCGCAGACCACGCAAGTAATTCCGATAACGCCAACACCAACTCCGATACCAGCCTGCGCTCCGACGGGTAAACCACCACCACCACCACCGGAAGCCTCAGCGCTGCTGCTCTGGCTGACAGTGGAAGTCGGTGTTCCAGCAGACGCGGTCTGTCCTCCACTGACAATTGTTTGTTGGGTCGAGGTTTCTGCTGAAGATACAGATGAAAGGGCTTGAGTGCTTGTTGGAAGCTCGGAGGTTGAAGTGATCACCGCAGTTGTGGATGTTAACAGCGGTAGGGTTACTTTTGGTATTTCGGGCTCGTCGGTGATGTTGAAGTACGCCGAGGACATTTGTTGGAAGTCAAAGTTTCCCTGATGAGACGGGTCGCCCTCGAATAGCCAGAGGAAAAAGACATTCGACGAACCCAAGTCAAACTTGTTCGCCGCGACTGTCCATGTAAGCTCTTTGACGGGACCTGAGCCATCCTCTGAAGTTCCTGTTAGTGAGGCCAGCAAGACTCACTATGTCTCTTTGACTTACGGATGGAAAACAGGATGTCTCCGACGCTTGCAGAGTCGCCAACTAGGGATTGTTGCCAAAGTGCTATTGTGTAGTTTTTGAACTTTGCGTTGTAGGAGATACTCTTTGTTTCTCCTATCCTCCATGTTTCTCTCTTTTGAACAGGGCTGAAGAACTGCGCATAGAGGCAAGGGAAGAGGGAAAACGACAGTACGACTGCAAAGAACATCTTGAAGAACTGATTGTTGTTGCGCAATTGTCAAATCGAAGTGGCGCTGACTCGACCACGAGCGTGATTTTGCTTCCTTAATATTAGACTTAGATCGAAGGCTGGCCGGTGCCAGCGAATGCTACGCCCGACCCGGCATTGTGGTTCGGAGGCCCACTGGCGTGTTCCAAACCCTTGTCAAGCTTCCAATACTTGTCTGCTGGACTCTTACTTCCAACAGCTTGCCTGCCACTTTGTCCCTACTTCACTGTCAAAAATTTGAAGTCATCCGGGTCTCTTTCTCGAGGGCCTGCTTCAGGCCGGCTCGGCTGGGTACGGTAGCCCGTCAGTCACTGATTGCTCTCCATTTTTGCCGCTTAGACTGCATGCATGAACCCCTGCATCTTTTTCTACGCCGTTAAGTCTCAACCTGCGTTGGCGTAGATCACCTGGAAGACTTTACACAGAACTACTTGAAAACATACGGATCTAGAAACTCTGCAAAAACGGTCTAAAGTGAGGAAACTCGAAGCCCTGGAAAAAGGCTTTTGCATCCTCAGTTATCAAGATCACGGTGGTATTCAGTATCCCCCCACGGTGATGTTTGCTCTCGGCCGAAACAGGGTCTACCCCTGACCCTGCGATGTGGCCTTTTTCTTGCCAGTCGTGTCAGTCAAGGGTGCCAAGAAAAGGCCCAATCAAAACGTGAGAATTGTTGCCGCTCAATTTCTTACCGCCCGCCTTCTTGCCGCCATCATTGAGGACTCAGCGCGGACTTGCGGAACCAAACACGAACCAACCGCCTCGTATTGCCAAGGTGCTGTGATGCATGATGCATTCAGAGTCCCAACCAACGCCAAGTCCTTTCTGAAAAGCAAATCAGCTTCAAGCGTTTTCCGGACTATTCCCCTTTCTTTCATCCCAAGATCTGCTACTTTGGGTCTGGATGTGTGATGAACACCTGGAACAAAGTCGCCTACGTGCAGGGCTGAGAGCATATCCCGTGAGATTGAAGGAAGATCTTCTGCCCTCTCTGAATCTTATCAGTCAGTAAGCAACCAGGTGGATGCTGGTCTTTCCTTTGGGGGTTGGCTGAAAATTGCATTGTGTCCCCTCCCGCCCATCCCGCCGCTGGCCGAGATTTTTAATTAGACAGCCCACCATGCAGTCGAATACAGTTTGGCTTGCCAGCTGATTAACCTCTTTCTTTCAAAAGACTTGTCCCCCGTCAGTCTCACTCCGCTTGCTGGCCGTTCTCAACACTCTCTTTTGCAAATTCCTGGCGTTCTGCTTGTTCTTTCCTAATGCACAAAACGAGTAGAATGGCTTTCCTACCCATCAGGCCGACCTCCAAGAGGGACCTGTGCATCATCGCAGCAGTCTTTGTTACTGTTGTGCTATTCCTGCATAACCCATTCCCAGACCACATCCCACGGCCAAGAGGCACAGATTCACAATTCTCGTCAACAGGTCTGATGAGCACCATCCAAAACAGCACGTTAGGCGTGAGTCCTCTCTCACCGTTGGTTGGGTATACCACAATCTCACGATGCTGTCCCTGTAGTTTGAAAAGATTTTCGTCGTCGGCCTTCCAAGCCGGACAGATCGCAGAGATGGCATGATTCTGCAGGCTGCGCTGAGTGAGATTGAAATCAACTTTGTCGATGGTGTGCCAGGCAACACCGTAGTCGATAAGGCGATACCAAAGACGAGCGAGCATGATCGCTTGCATGATGGCGCCATAGGCTGTTGGCGTGGCCACATGACTGCGCTCGAGGAGTGAGTCGAGTCCATGCTGACTGCACACTGCTTAGTCCACTGATTTTATCCCTAAGAATCGTTCGTCACAACCTGTCTTCAGCTCTTATCCTCGAAGACGATGTCGACTGGGACATCAGAATCAGGCAGCAGTTGCACGACTTTGCTCTCTCAGCTCAGACTCTTACTCAGCCCCTTCCCGAAGGACTTTCAATTTATGCAGACCCAACATACCCAAGGCCGGTGGAGAACTCGCCAGAGGTCGTTCCGGATATTCCTTTTGACTATCTTCCAGCTACCGTGGCACCAAAAACATCACCGTATGGAGACGACTGGGACCTGCTCTGGATCGGCCACTGCGGAATGCACTTTCCATTCCGAGACAATAAAAGTATTCCGAAAGCTCGCATCATCCGCTCCAACGACGTAACCGTCGCTCCCAAGAAGAACCTATGGACGTTCAACATCCCTTTCACTTTGAAAGAGACGTATCCGGAGCATACGCGGGCATACCACCATGCCCAGGAGGGTGTTTGCACGCTAGGTTATGCGGTTAGCCAAAGGGGAGCGAGGAAGCTCCTACATGAGGTGGCTCTGAAGGATGTCAGCGATGCGTACGACATTCTCTTGAGGTTCTTTTGCGAGGGCGCCAAGGGCCGAAAACCACACAACTGCTTGACGACACAACCGGCTTTGTTCCACCATCACCGACCAGCCGGCCCTAACAGCGCGATGAGCGACATTGGGAACCATGGTGATGGCTTTAGAGAGGTCAGCATGACAGACATGGTGAGATGGAGTGTGCGATTGAATGCCGATGCGCTTCTTGAGGGGAGGACGGATTTTGTTGACCAATACCCTGATGATAAATGAGTTGAGATACCAGAGTCTATGATGCTAGCTGGACATGCCTGACTTAGAGGATACTCTGCCAAGGTATAACTGATAACGCAGATCTCAACCCTCTTCTAGCCAAAGTCTTCAATCAAGGTGTGCAGTACGAGTGAAGCGTGTGAGCTTAGCGGGATGTTGAGACTACATCAATATGCTGGTAATGATGGGCTGGTGAATGACATATCCTGACAGGTCCGAACACTTAGTGGGTGCCAACTTTGTTCACAACGCTGGCCCTGACTGTGTTGCAAACTCTGTACCAGTTGCAAACTTTGCTGGCACAAATGGATGAGCACGATGGCATTGGGAGATTTGTGCATAAAGTCATGTTGGAGATAGCTACTTGGCTACTTAAGCTCAGTGCACTCTTCTACCTTTCCTAGGAATCTATAAGGTCACTCGTATGTAGGAAGATATATGCCAAAATCGCAATGTTTACCACTTACGAAGTAAACACAAGCTATACCTCTATTCCACTCTCATGAGCCTCAACTCCGATCTTCAGACTTTTGGCTTCGGTTGGCTGTTGGCGCGGCATACTCCCAGTCTTCTTTGTCATGATGGTCGACTTATGGCGCCGCGGAAGAGTGCGCCTCTGTTAAAGGCTTCTGTCCATAAACCACATGTCTTTCAACCCGTCAGTGAAAGCTCAAGCATGGTTGAATCATTACTCAGAACCATTACTCACAGGTCATAGATGCCGTGGTATGCGCCTTCCTTCATCTCCTTGCGCACTTGCGCGGTCTCAACTAGCACCTCTTCCTTGGTTCGGCCGAGGACGCCACAAAAGACTCTCAAAGTAAACCCTTCAAGACCTTCGAGCATTTGAGCCAAGTTAAGCATACCCAAGTCCTTGTAATGTGGCTCCTTGGGCCAGGGGCCGAGGGGGGCTTTGAAACGCTGGTGGAAAATATTTTCAAAGCCAGTGTCCGTCACCCAACCTTCCAGTCTCGGACCAGGCGAGGGTTCCCGCCCAATGCTCCTCATCGTCTTCAAGAAAGTCTGATTCCAGGGCCAAGTGGCATGCTTTTCAGTGTAAGTGCCATCGTCTGAGTAAATTTCAGGGTCCATCTCGTGGAACTCGGCCCAGCCTCCCGGGTTCAGGTGACTTTCCATCTTTGTTAGTTCAGGTCCACGCGTGATGAGCGCAAGGAAGAAACTCTTTCTAGGAAGTGGTTGGATTTGCTTGATGCATTGACTCACTCGTAGATGTTTTTGACCAATTTAGGCCAGTCCGCTATGGAAGCAGCCATGAAGCGGCAAAATATAAAGTCGTATTTTGTTTGATGAACCCATGGGCTTTCGACATCATCGATTTCGAATCTGACATTGACGGGAACCCTGATACAGCGTCAGCGATAAGGTGGTTGTAGTCAGCTCGGACAATTAGCCATGAGCTTACCAAGATGGCTGGATAGCGCTGAGATCGACTCCAATAACCTCAGCATTCTCAAAGATATCGCCGATTTCAACAGCCCCTGCGAAAAGGTTTGTTAGCCTTGCGAAAGAGCGCCGAGATAAAGAAATAGAACTCGGGCCTTACAGATACCAGTACCAGTGCCAACATCAAGAATTTGCTGAACCTTCTCTTTCTCGAGTGGAGCAAGGAATAGCCTATTCTTGATTGCCTTGACCATCATGGCATGTGTCATGTCAAGTCTTTCCATTTCTACCTCATCATTCGGCATTATATATGCTACATGGGTTAGCTCATGTTATATTTCCCAGACATTGAATACTGCCAAACATACAGCCGGGTCGGAAGGCATGATATCGTCGGCCATACTCCATAGGATAATCAATGACACTTGAAGATAGAGACGCAGTGTAATTAGAGCTGTGCGCGCGGAGGGAATCAGTCATGCTATCTCTAAAGTGATCGTGTTCGAACGTACATCCGCTCATCAATGGTTGATGCGTTGTCAGTCTAAGACATTGTTAGCAAAGGTCTACTGCGGAGACAGGATGATTGTGGTGACAGCTATGATCTACTCACAGTCTCTCCTTCATCTGCCTCAACTATCACATCGTGGGCAACTTGTTGCGCAGCAATTGGCGAATCGGTGGGCGGACTGGCTTGGCTTTCAGCTGGAGGCGACGTTGCTTGAGCAGGTGGCGTCGTTGCGGCTGGTGCTGCTGGTGCTGCTGGCGCCCCCGGGGCTCGACTCTGGTTGTTCGTCGTCTCAGCCATTATAGGCGCAGTCGTTACGATTTTGTAAGGTTTTGAAGACCGAGGTCACAGGGCAGCCGATTTGAAGTTGAGGAGAATTAGACGATGGACAGAGTTCCCCTTACATTCGTCGGGGGGCCGGGCGATTGTCCAGCCTTTTTGTAATTACCCCTCCATTGTTCGTCGTCCTCTCTTTTGAGTTAGCGAACTTGGCATGTTTGCTGCAGACATCTCTGTTCCTTCTCGTTGGTGCTGTGCCTCCGAGATGCATTAAAATGGAGAAATTCTGCAGCTTGAGATCTTCAGATTGGTCGCAATTCGAGCTCGCAGAAAACTGTTTCGTGTCTTGTCAGGGTCCGCATCATTGTCGATAGGTAATCAGGCCAATTAGGTATAAGCGCTTAGTTCTCGCCGGATATCCGACCAAATGCGAACACCAACCCGGGAACAACTATGCAGCCAGTGCATGGGGACAGAACTGTTCATATGGACTTTCAAAATTGCGCTTAGCCAAAAGATCCATCAAATTTTCTTTCTTTTTAAAACCCACGGAATCCAGATCGTCCTGACTAACGCTGCAAGAAAAGGCCCGTGGGTTAAAAGCAAGAAGTGATGCTTGAATAGGCAGGAAGCCATGTAGGGGCAAGACAGCAACAGTTCGCATTCTCCGGAGCAAAAGAATATAAGTAATTCGACGTTGGCCTGATTCGAACAGACGCTCCCGAAGGAACAAGATTTCTAGTCTTGCGCATTAGACCACTCTGCCACAACGCCGTGATCCACTGGAGGTGGAGTTGACTTACCTCTCTCAGATGCGGAAGATGATCGCTTCTCGGGCAGCAACAACAGCTTGATTACCATTCTGCACCGTGCGCCGAGGCCTTCAAAAACATTGTTTGCTTGTAACTGAATTTGAACATTATGGGGCTTAAAGGTAAGCACCTAGGTGACTGAGTAAATAGTCCAAGACAAGATGTCCTTAAGGAGTTGCCCATGATCGCCAGGCAGTAAACTGGGTCCGTTCCGACGAGCCGTGCAAAGCATACTCGACCCACTTCTAGGGCCCCGGGAACCCCACTAGAAAACGTCTCGATGCCTTCTAGTACCTACGCAGCATGGCTAATACAGCGGTAATCAGCTCCCAAGAGTCCAACTTCTTGGTCGTGAGTGCATTGAATGCCAAGGTATCGCCACGGATAGTCTTAGAACTTGCAAGCCAAAAGATATATTGACCATCTTCGTTCATCGGACCACTTGTCACTTGCAGGAGCAGGGAACCGGAAACTCATCTCTCAAAGGCTAGGTGCCTCCTCATGATACTTGGAAATGGCTAGATGATTGTGGTTGATATCCATAAACTCCACGGAATAAGAATGTAATGTCTCATGGCGCTTGCGGCAAAACTGACGCGAAAACATGTGAGGGGACGAAATTAGGTTGCACTGTAGCAAGCCCTTCGCCCCCTGGTATGAACAAGGTAGATCCACTTGCGAAGTTATCGTGAATCTTCATTGATAGATACAACTCGCGCTTCCCGGCTCATTATCTATATGCACCAAATCCTCATACTCACGCGGCAATGGCTCATTGAGGCCTTGTACTGGATGTTACTGTTTCTCTGAGCTCGCCCTTTCATGAATGTTGTGAGCTGATGTTGCCCTAAACATAGATATGGCGATAGATAAGACATGTGTACGGATAGCAAAGACGCGATGGGCATGTCAACGATTGTCCTTCGCTTCCAGCTTGTTGTTGGACTATGTTGACGTATCGTGGACGAGGTGACTGGCTTTCTTCAGATTGTCCAAAACTTCGGGCTGAATTCCTGGAATACTGTGAAGATACTAATCCTCAGGGGCATCACGTAAGTTGAACCTAACTCGCAGGGGGTATTTGAGATTGTGTCCGGATCAACTCGCCCCCGATCGGATGGGTTTTACTCACGGCTGCTGATGCAAGATCCAAGCCAGCATGTCAAACACCCATGCCCCAATCTCCGAAGTAATGGCTTGCACTAACCAAGTGAGAATGGGGCGACAACAGCATAGCTGCCCCAATATCGGGAAGATAGAGAAGATCGCCGCTAGGAAGCCCTTCAGATCATGGTCAGGCGATACCCATTCTGTTAATGAGTGCAATAAGCAAAGCCCTGAGTCTTTGGAAGTTTCGTGCTTAAGTTAAACAAGAACCGGAATTACAAGAGAAAAGAGGATTTATTTGTGACTACTCGATAGCAATACGTACGTGCCGGTCTGCTTCCCACTTTCTCATGCTCAGCCGCTATGTTTTTTGGGCTCTAATCAGGCCTGCCATCAACGAAGAAGCATCTCAAATGATCAAAAGAACGACGACCGCGGGAGGAGGGCAATACCACATGCTGGATTCCCGCTTATCAGCATCATGTACTCGTATCAGCGCGGTCATTGTTCGGAATTGAGAGAGCTACGGTATGAGTGACCACCTGAACTCTTTTGCAATCCAAGCAAGGAGTGCTTGCAGTTTTAGTTCGTCTGGGTTCTATCCACACATCATCTGTGCAATAACAATGCAAGCTAGGTCAACCCATATTCGACTGCCACTGGTTCAACATTCGGCCGATAAAGTTTCATAAGTTCTTCCCCTACGACGCACCAATGCATGGCCCCCCAAAAGCTCTCGAATTATTCCGTGGGGGTATGCAAGCTGCAGCTGTGCAGGTATCAAGGTGCGTGCGCCATGCCAGGGGTAAAAAGGGGGATCATTACGAGATACATACTGCGTACCTCTGCGTACACAACAACGCTATTACCAGAGATGCTTTACCAAATGGTAAACCGCAACAACCCGCGGATCGCGGAAAGAATATTCGTTGGTACTGGTGCTTTGAACTTTGCTAGTTCAGAATGCTTGCATGTTTCTGTGACCAAACCATTACGAACGTTCAACCCGATAACCATGGCTTCGGAACCACTGTCATTTTGACTATCGATCATCCCAAGTTGCAAGAGTCTAACTCACTGAGACTCATCTCGTTCGGCGGCAAATGGAAAATCAAAGGCAAATGTTCTGCTCGTAGCTCTGTCCACTTCAGGAACCGGAACCCGAAAGGAGGGTAATTAGAGTTCACGGTATTTCAACCCCCGGTACCGCGGCGGAGGATCACGGTTTTCTGTCACTCGCCGTGCCTCTGGACAAGGGAACAGGTGGGGCTTCATGAGTTCGCGTTGCAACGTCACGGTCTCTGGCTACGCTCACCAGGGCAAAGGAGGGACAAGGAGCCTGACTCAGGTCGTCCGAAACACAGGGCATGATAACAAATTCTTGCTGTGATCAAGGACGCGCTCCCACCTGTGAGAACCTTGGTTTTCATCAGTGGCAGATAACTTCTTACCCCCTGCGGCACTGCCCTGAGCGCTTGAACGCTATCCTGTTTTATCATTCTAGTGCTACTACCGTTGCGACGCGGTAAATGCCACATGCTACGCCAGCACTCGATGGAAGGGAAAGGGTCGTCTCTCGCGGGAAGACGACTGTGACAATCTGCACTTTCTTCACTGCACCTCCGCTATCATCAGGAACAGGATGACCCTTCAGATTTTCGTGATACATATCTCTCAGCATCTCCAGTGACATTCCCTCATTTGGACTGTCTGCTGTGCAGATTGGATACGCTCCTTGCTTGCAGCCTAGACTTTTCTCGACCACTTTGCGGCGGCGGCAATCAAAATTCGGCGAAAGTTTGCGTCTTTAACACTGTGCAAACAGTCTCAAGTCAACCAACATGGTGACGATGAACCATGACTACACCAAGGGTCAGATGATCGGCCTGGCCATTGGGTTCATGATCATTCCTATAGCGTTCTATGGACTTCGCGTGTGGGCGAAGCTACTCGTCAAAAGATTTGCATGGGACGACTACCTAACCGGAGCAGCGCTCGTAAGTCTGAAGATGGAGCTTGAAGCCATGGGCTAAATGATACGCTGACCGGTGCTTACTTTGAACAGTTGGTATCAATCACCTGCTGTACTCTGCAACTAGCTAGTATGTCTCAAATTTCCATGACCATTTCTCAAGAAGGAGGAACTGACGCGCAGGCAAGCTGCAATTCACGGTCATTTGGGACAGCATCAGCCCACGTTCCCCGACGGCTCCCCAATTATGGATGATCCAGGGTTGATCTTCTTCGAAGAGGTGAGCTTGGCTTTCCAGCGCGCCGGTATCGCATCTGGCACCCAGCTAACAAGCTTTTCGCACGTCAGACAAAGTTTGCACTCAATATGATTTCAATTCTGGGCTTGGGACTCGTCAAGTCATCCATCCTCGTGTTGTATTACACCCTCTTTCCGAGCCAAAGGTTTCGCTACGTCGTCTTTGGGGTACTAGCCTTTGTGATCGGATGGACGGTCAGCTTCTTCTTTTCCCATCTCTTTACTTGTTTCCCCATTACAGTATTCATCGAACCCTACTATGGAAACTCGTGCGTTCAAACGGTGCCGATGTTCCTCGCGCTTCTATTCACCGACGTCATTGCCGACTTTGTCATACTCGTACTTCCAGTAGCGATGGTTCTCAAAGTTCAGATGCCCCTCAAGAAGAAACTTGCAGTCATCGCAATGTTAGGACTTGGCGCTGCGTAAGCTTTCAGTGTCATTGGCAGAAGACAAAGGTTGCTAACGACAGTGTAGCGTCTGTGCCGTGAGTGTCACGAGAGTGGTAGCGACTTTTGCTATTGCGGAAGAGTATGTCAAGCACCCTAACGATGTCATCTGTAAGTCACACTCAGACTCATTGGCTACGGCTACTTCTCTGACGATGGCATGAAGATTATACCGCCCCCGTCTTCTTCTGGACCAACATTGAACTGTCGCTGGCCATTGTTTGCGCTTGTCTCCCGACACTCCGGCCAATCTGGGTGCACTTCTTCCCCAAGCCCATCACGACAGGAAACGATTCCTACGAGTACGGATCATCACGACGTATTGGTGGAAAGAACAGTATGAGAACACCGAGAACGCCGTATGAAGAGCTCGATGAATTAGAAATGATTCGAAACGACGACAAGACGCGCTCAGGCTCCCCCGAAGGGCGAGAGATCCTTAGAGAGACGACGATTCATCAGACGATTGAGCCTTCGGACAGCTCGAGTACTGCTAACTTAAGGACTAATGGTGTTGGATTATGAGCAGGAGGATTAATTTGAAGGAGAGATATGGATGAGCGTTGATTTTTGACAGTCGTTCATGGTTCTAATGAGACCAATTCTTGTTTGTTTCCTTGATGATACCTCACTTGTACTTTTGCCGACTGCTATCGAAACACCAGATCTGAGCTAGGACTTTCGCACTTGTCTTTTCTGATCAATTCTTGACCTAATCAATGGCATCTATACCAACTTGCAAGCGGCAGTGTCCCCCATCAAACGTCACACAACCACAGTTCTCGGTTTTGATCGACATTCGCAAGACTTTGTTAATCAATAAGCCGCGTGGCTTGAAGAAGTCTACGTAAGCCCTAGCAAATTGCTCAGATTGCGCTTCGGAGAGCAGCGGTGCCGCCCTGCCGAGGACTTACGGACCTAACCAAAGCACAGTTCTTGGTGTGCTTCAGATGTCCAAATAACCTCTTCATCCACAACCTCCACAGCACGGGTCAGCGGGGGCAGAGAGGGGATGATTTTCTCGCCAAGGGGGGTTTTCTCTTTCGACAATCGGTGCAGCGGACCCGTTTGTTATCGTATGTCCCGCAAGACAAGGTCGAACCCAGCAACAAGCTCCACCTGCAATGCCAGGGTGGCCGGACTCGACCATGTCGCGGTTGGGATTTCGTAATCTTCTGCCAAGGATGGAAACGCTTGCGTCGTGTTTCTGCAATGGATTTCCAGCGCCCTTGTCGTATGATGGTAATATTCGCCCAGAAGTCCGCTCGTTAGTGGCCGCAAGCTCCGAGATGCGACGGTCACATTGGAGATGGATTAAGGGATGGGGAGAGGAGTTTCCCCTCTCTCCTCTTCCCCCTTTGATGGTGGCATGGTGGCAGGTGCAGACCAAGATGGAGAACCTCATGTCCGTTTGATCCCTACCAAGACTATGCGACCTAGCATCAACCAACACCAACGCAGCTGCATACCATGGTAACCGGGAGGATTAGTCGGCATATGCCTCTTTTATAATGGGCCAGGATTTTACGCGTGGATCTAAGGGGGTCATGTGGCTGGAAGTCTCATCGCATCCTACATCATGTAGACGCAGAGTTGAAGTCGCGCACGTTCGCAGGCCCTAAAAGAAACTTGTCCTGCTCTGCGGTCGTCCATGCACGAGCTTCTTGGCTATCACAGCTTCTCTCCGACGATCGCCTGCCACTGCTACCCCCGGACGACACCATGCGGTCCCTAATCATCGGTCTGCAGCTCATCTCAATGGTAGCATCTGCTGCCATTAGCATCAACGCCCGTTCCGTAGCCGAGGATTTGCAAAACCTTGTCTCGACTTCCTCCGTGGCCGTCGAAGTTCGAGAACGTTGGAGTGACTTCGATGTACCTCTGCCATCAGTCATTGTCAATGCGACATCCGAGAAGGATTTGAGTGCTGTGGTAGGTTCACCAATGTTCTCGGCCACATCGGATCACTCATTACTGTGCACATGCTGATGTTTATCTGCCTTACAGGTCAAGTACTGTTCAACAAATAACATCGCTTTCCTCCCCCAGAATGGCGGCAATGGTTGGGCAACTAAACAATTCAACCTGGGCAGCAACGGCGTCCTGATCAATCTCGCCGGCTTCAACCAGGTTAATATCAGTACCGACAAGAAAACAGCTACGATTGGTGGAGGAGCGCTCATTGGCGACGTCGTTGCTGCTGCTGACGCTGCAGGTGTTCTGGTCCAAACAGGCAATTGCAACTGCGTCGGCGCTCTTGGGGCAGCCCTGGGCGGTGGATATGGCAATATTATGGGGGAACACGGCTTTGCCGTCGACAACATCTTGTCTATGCGCGTAATCACTGCCACTGGAGAGGCTCTGACAGTTTCAAGCTCATCTAACCCAGATCTTTACTGGGCTCTGAGGGGCGCAGCACCCAACTTCGGCATCGTCACTTCCGCAACAGTGAACTCGTGGGCGACAGCAAGTCGTACATCCTGGATCATGTCTTTGACTTTTGACTCCTCAAAGATCGCCGATGTGGCTCAGACCATCCAAGATCTTCCGTTGCTCCCGGAACAAGTCGTATACCTGGTACTCACAAATTCCGGCGACTCTTCGAACTCGCCAATGGTTCTTGTCACTGGTTTCCTACGCGAGGGAACCGAAGAAGCTGGTCGCACCGCCTTTGCGCCTCTGTACAACCTCGGACCCCTGACCAACTCCAGCGTGGTAACTCCCTACCAACAATGGAACGCCGCCAACGACAACTTCTGCGCCCGCGGAGGACGCAAACCGACATACAGCACAACCATCAACAGCATGAAGCCGGAAACGTGGCCTGAGATCTGGACTCTATACACCGACTTCCAAAACCAGACAGGCGCACAGAATTCAGCCGTGCTGATCGAAAGATACAACCTGACCACGGCAAAGTCAGTTCCCTCTGGGTCGGCAGCTATGCAAGACGAGCTCCGCCAAGAAGCGTTCGCGCAGGCGATTGTCATCCCATGGTATGAGGATGCGAGCCTCGATGTTCAAGCTCTGGAATTCGGCGCAAAAGTCCGAGATGTCTGGAGTTTCTCCCCTAGTGCCACCGTGAACCCGACGTAAGCTAAATACTCATTGAATGTATTTCTGTTGTCGTTATGGTGAATTGACGAGTATTTCAGGTATATCAACTTTGCTCACGGGGATGAGGAGCTGCAAGCAATCTACGGCTCAAGCTTGGATAGACTCAAGACCTTGAAGAAGAAGTTCGACCCTTCAGGGGCGTTTGGTCAGTGGTTCAAGATTGCGTGAGCATTTTTCGATGACTTCGTTTTGAAGTATTGGAACATGCAGATAAGCATCGGATCTACTCTATGGTGCGCCCCGGACGTATCACAAGAGATTCAGAGAAGGTACGACATGGATCATCGCAGCCGTCTGCTCGATTCTGCACTTTGGCTATTGTCAATCCGTGTCGAAATACATATAGTAAGATACCGATTAAATATCACAGAGTAAAAGTGCCTTCCAATGACACTTAGTTTCACATGGTCTCCAAATACCTTTCGTCTTGTCTTTGACTCTCTTTTGATGATAACTAGTAGGTACCTGACGTGACCAAACTCGATTATTCATTTCGAAACAACTTCAAGTATTATCTGAAGTGATTCATCTTGAGAAAAGTTTGTCCCTGAATTCTATGGGTGTATGCGCTCTCATGCCTTCATTAATAAATTGCAAGAACCTCTTCGAGGAGGCCGAGGGTTAAGTTGAATCCTCGGTTTATCAAAGTCCGTAGCCATGCAATAATGCTAATGCGTCGTTCCAAAGCCAATCCAAAAAAGCCGCTTTTCATTAGACACCAATCCATATTAGGCTGAGCAGGCGAATGAGTACGAGACACCACTGAAGTGATCGCTGCAAGCTCCGTATGTAGACTCGCCGTTAAGCGAGACGGGGACGCAAGTCTCCACCGTCTTGTTCGTCTTCGTGTCGACAACGGCGGTAACCTCGGGGTTGGCGTACAAGGGAATGTTGTCGTCCACACATGCCAGCTCCAAATTGTAGTAAGTGGTGTTTGTCACAGCGTCAGTGACATTGAAAGGGTTGCGGCAGATGGGCTTGAAGACGTATGTGTTATACGCGCGGATCGTGGTCCATGTCGCGGTACCCTTTACGGCGCCGCGGGTATCGCAGACCTCAGTGACCTCTTGCGTCGTTGTGGGAGTGAAGGGGGACCAGGCGACGAAGAGATTCCCGTGGGGATAGCTGAGATAGCCCAAGTTGATGGGAGGGAGGGCAGCTGAAGCCGCGGCGACGAAAGAGGCGCCGAGAATGGTGGAGAGCTGCATTCTGGAGGTTTCGGTGGGAACGATTAGGTGTTACTGGTTAAATCAATAGTAGGAATTCGATGATAGGTGGTTCTGGCAAAAACGAAAGTAGCCTGGCTCATCGGATTCCGGGACGATCGGTCTATCGCACTGCTCTTAAATACTCAGGACAAGAGCAATGGCAACCCCTAGTAGCTGCAGGTCTAGAATCTCGTTCCTTGCAGTTTAGTGGTTCGTTTGGTTCGGCCCTCACTTACCGTCCGTGCCGTCATAGTTTCCGTGGACCTTTATCGGCCTAGACAAGTGCACTGCAGGAAACATTTCAGCCGTTGCGCGATCATACCTTGTCCTAGGCCCGATGAACGACCCGCGCTAGAACCAAAGTCCCAACCCATCAGGTTTCTCGGCCTGTCGGTCAGGGAGAAAATCTCTTTCGCTGAACTTCTGCCTAGCAAAATATGGAGAATTTCCTTCCTCGTGTGGCTTGGGTCGTTGGTGAGAGTGATCAGTATTCGAACAGAATCAAAATACAAAAACCGTATGCCAAAATTGCGAAGAAGAGATGGCTAATGGCAGATACAACGTGACATCATTGCTGTGCATTTAAACCCTTAGATCGCACTAGAGTGCGGCACAGAGGCGGCAATTGTCAAACGGTACAGGGCTGCAGATTCAGTGGTGAAATACGAGCCGATTTCTCACCTACACACGGAAGCTGACGGCACTTGGTGGGGACGTCATGCAATCCTTCTCGTGTTGTCGCCCCGATGGTTCCACAGGACGCATTAGAGGTGATTGTTGTCCCAAAGCGGTAAGGACAATTTTGTTTCTTTCAATTGAGAACAAACTCGTCGTTCTCATATTGGAATGACTAAATTGAGTTGAGCGCGTGCTTGAATCACATTTCAATAAGTGTACTATATCATGTGATTTCCCTTGACAGCTTGATCCAGCCAAGGTCGATCTTTTGCGCCTGTAAAGCCGGAAAATAACCACCACATAGCCATCAATCATCACTGGCATTTATTCTCGGTGCTCGTAATGCAACTATTGTATGTGGGTGCTGGAAAATGAGATCGAGCTGACAGGTTTTTTCTTTCGGCCTACTCGCTTGCTCCGTACCGTCGCTGAGAATGGAAGTTGGCCTATAGAGCATTGGAGCTACAACTATCAAGTTCTTAATTGGACAGAGACCTGAGTTCCTAAGATAGTGACAGCTCAACGATATTTGCGTTTTCGATTATGTGACCCGACTATCTTAAGGTATGGATGGAGTGAATGCTTGAAATAGTCGAATGAAGTATAACAAGAAGAAGACTCTCGTCTCTGATTTCACAAGACACTAAGTTTGACAAACGGCATAGACTAAGAAAGGCCAATGGTAATAAATATGACGCATGACTTCTGTCCGAATTCTGATTAGGCTACAGCTGCAGCTGATGCAACCGGGGCTTGCTCATCGGACTGTTCTGGCTTACGTCCGTAGACAACATGCCTGTTGAGCACCATTAGTAATTGCAGTTCAGCCAGTGGTACAAACGGAAGGTTGAAAGCTTCGAGCGCAGGCAGTTCACTCACAATGTAAAGTACGTCTGCAGCTTCAGGTCTCTCAGTGCCTTGCGCATCTCGCTGATAAAAACGAGAATTTCCACATCCTCCCATCCCATCATTTGTCTTAAAAGAAAAGTTCCGAACCCCTCCAGAGACTGGTCGATGTACTGCAAGTTGACAGCCCCGACTTCTTTGAGCTTGGGGTCCGAAGCCCATCCTCCAATAGGAATCGGCCAGCTTTTCTCCACGATATCCACGAATCCAGCATTCCTCATGCCGTTCGCGATGCCATGATCCCGAGTCTGTTTTCCAGTTTTCCCAAGCTTATCCATGGACTCGAACATGATCTTCGCCCACCTTCTGTACACGTGATCCTGGGGAAGATCATCACCGAGTGCTTGAGAGTAGTCTTCCAGATCTAGCTCATTTACCTCGACATACCCGCCAGGTATGAGGTGCTCAAATGCTTGAGAATAGAGCTTCGGCCAATCAGAAACACATCCTTCCAAGTGTCGAATATGAATGTAATCAAAGAATTCAGTAGGCCATGTCCAATCCGCCTCAATATCGTCGATTTGGAATTTGCAATTGGGTGGAACCCAACTAGGTTGTATGGGTGAAATGTCGACACCGGTAACTTCTGCCGACGGAAATTCGTCGGCAAAGTCACTATTTAGAACTTGTAAGATCGTTGTCTAAATTTTCTCTTGGTTCAAGAGCAAGAGCCAAGATTATTACAAAAGGGGGAAAGAGGGAAACCTACATGGCCCAAATGCCCGTTCCGGTACCAATATCGAGAACTTTCTGTACATAATGTCAGCAGTTCATTCTCACCAAGAAACTCGCCTGACAGCTAACCTGAGGGCTGTCTCCGATAGGCGCCAAAAACAGCTTATCGTCGAAGAATACGCATTCCCAATAATGGCTTGATAGTTGGAGTATCAGTAAGGTAAGGTAGTCAGTGTAATTTTGAAGACAAATTGGCATGCTACTGTGTCACGGAGATTATGTGTCATGATAACAGATGGTGTTTACGTACGCAAGATCGAGTCCTTCATTCTGTTTCTCATCATTCGGCCCCCAGTAGTCAACCTTTTGCGTGTAGGTACGCCCAAGGATGCGTCGGTACTCCGTGATGCTTTCGGTTAACGAAGCTGTCGAGGACGTGTGAATGCTATTTCACGATTCAGCTTAAACTCCAAGTTCACTTTAAAATGTTCTGTCAGTACTCGCCTTTCTGTCTCCGCTTCGGTCAAGTCCTCATGTTCGTAAGCTGGGTCCTGTTAGAAAGGGGGTAAGCCACCCGACATTCTGGGCTTCACCATAGCTAGATTTGTATGTATATATCAAGAAGTAGATGATATGACTCACAGCCACAATTTGACCTGCCTCGGTTTCATTTGCGTTGCCAGCAGGTGAGCTTGTCGCCGCTGGTGGCGATGACCCTTTGGCGCGGGGACTCTTTGCAGCCCGTACTGGCGAGGAGACTTGCGGCTCTGAGCTCTCGGTTGATGCCATGTTGAAATTCGGATGATTCTCGTATCAAATGATAAGATTTGTCAATGAGCAAAATGCAGACATGAACAGCAAGCGTCTGGAATTTGTGAGGTTCATGACAAAAGCCTGGGCTCAACCCCTCTTTTAAACGACTTTTCTTACTCTTCTGTTGGTTCTGCGACATGGATGTTCATTTTGTAGCTAAAAACGCGTTCGGTTGATCTGTTGGTGGCTACAAACCGGGTCTGGAGCCGCCAAGTATTCTAGCGAGAGCCCGCCTCCCCGGACGAATAGAATGATTATTTCCCCAAAATCCGATGCGCATTCACGACATTCTAGGCTATTTCCGGCAGGTATGTAAGGTGCCGGGTAGCAAATCGACACAGATATAGCGTGCAATCATAGCCCGTTGTTCTACTTCAAGTCCACAAGCAAAGTCCGAGGGGGTCCAGTCATTGTCGAATCCGCTCAACTGCAATGGCACACTGGCAGTTTCTGACACATTGGAACTTCACTCAAGATTTCAGGGCTGGTAATTCAATCGGCACGTGCTCGACATATCTTATTGCTATTCGTTTTCTCAAGTCTCTCACTGCATAAGAGCGACTTGCAATGCACTAGTACTACAACCAATGGCTGGTATATTCCAAGATGTGTCAAGACTTGAGACGCCTCTCGAATAATGAATTACGTTAAACCGATTGATCTCGTCTTGAAGTTAGGTTAGCATCCTGGCACATGTTTCCAATCAGCCGGTCAAATAGCTTGCAAAGACCCCTCGTCTTGCTTCCATGGCACAATCAGTCGAACATACCAGGGCTATCTGGACTGGAAACAAACTTTCAGTCCGGCTTCATGTTGTTTACCACTGATTACATATTGTGCGCCAAAATTCCATTCAGCATTTTAACCATCCTGCCTTGTTGGTTAACAATTTTCGTCGTCGTCGGACGTTCAATTAACAGTGAAGGGTTTCGATGTTGACGCTCGAAGTCTTCTCTTCCGTACCATCTGGACTAGCTTGACTCAGAAGCGGCTCCCACCAGTTCTCAAGCTCAATCATGCAGCCCATCACTGCAGCACTTGGTTCTATCTTCATAAGTACGGCACGAAGGCATCGAATTTAGAAGAGACAACTAGGCCCACGAGGGGAATATAATGATATCGGTAAGGATATGTATGCGTGCATTTAAGGGCAACGACTATGACTATCCCAGCTATCATGCCAGACACTAAGCTCCCTGATCTCTAATGGCCTTCCGCATCTCGCTCATAAACACCACAATCTCAGCATATACCCATCCTATTATCTCTTTAAGTAGAAAGGTACCAAAGCCTTCAAGCGATTGATCAAGGTACTGTAAGTGGCACGCACCCACTTCCTTGAGAGTCGAATCCATTGGCCAGGCACCGATAGGCGCAGCCCACTGCTGCTCAACGATGTCAACAAAGCCTGCAGCTTCTAGACCTTTGGCGATACCATGATTTCGACTATGAGTTCCCGTCTTTCCCAGTCGATCCATGGCCTCTAGCATCACCTTGCCCCATCTTTTGTAGACATGGTCTTCGTTCAGTTCAGCAAGCACTTGAGAGCATAGCTCCACATCTATCTCTTTAACCTCGACAAATCCACCTGGCTTGGTGTGGGCAAAAGTTTGGTCGTATAGCCTGGGCCAGTCTGCCACGCTACCTTCGAGGTGACTTACGTGCACATAGTCAAAGTGGCTGATGGGCCAGGTCCATGGCTGCTCGATATCATCGATCTGGAACTTGGAATTGGGTGGGACCCAACCTGGCTGAATCGGCGAGATGTCAACTACTATCACGCCGGCGGATGGATACACATCCGCAAAGTCTCTGAAAGATCTCGTCAACTATGTGTTAAGCAGCTCACGTACCTTATACTGCGCAAACTCATTCTGAAAGCACCGAGTAACACTCACATAGCCCAGATACCGGTCCTAGTGCCAACATCGAGAACATTCTATGACAAGTTTAGGATGGCTCTTTAAAATCAACCTTTGGTTGTTAGAAACCAACGTGCCTGAAGGGAATCACCTATAGGTGCAAGAAATAACTTGTCATCTAGTAGGAGTGTCTCCTAGTAATGGCTATGGGAGCACCCTATGTTAATTACATGTGTGGCAACAGCAATTGGGATTTACTCAGTGACTATGACGTACGCAATATCAAGTCCTTCATTCTGTCTTTAGTCGTTCGGTCCCTAATAGTCGGTTTTCTGAGTGTAAGTACGCCCCTGAATGCGGCGGTACTCGGAATGTCTCTCACTCAAAGAAGCGGTGGAAGAGGTGTAGATACTTTACGGTGCCGTCAGTACGTGGTCTCTACGAGCAGCCATCCTCAGTTATTGTCTCACCTCTCAATTTCGGCATCTGTCGTTTGCTCATTCTCAATGATGGGGTCCTGTAGAGTAAAGTTGTCAGATCAAGGCCATATTTGGAAGACGACAGCTTTCATGAGAGTAGAATCTTTAGACTGTCCACATACTACAGCGATTGCGCTTGTTGTAGACCCAGAGCTGCTTGCAATGGGATGGCTCGTGGCTGCCGTGTAGTCTGGAAACACAGCCATGGTATTATCTGCGCTTTCGGTGTTTTACTGAAGCGATTTGGAAATCAGGCAAAGGTAAATGACTCAGACTTGTCAATGACTGTGGAGCTCCGTACAAACGAGCAGTCACGCCAATTTTGTTGCAGAAAGTCCAAAATAGCTACGACCCCTCACTTGATCCTGTTGGTTTCTCTCCCCGTTCCGGCCTGCACGTTGTTCTGCAGGCTGTATTGGAACAGCCCAGTTCACTCAGAGATTTCCGTTGTCATCCACCCAGGCGAATGAAACCAGCCAGGTTCCTCAGTTGTCGTTGTGGACTTTAGGCCAATTCCGGAAGGTCCAAGAGACATGCATAGCGACAACAGACGCCTTCATAAGGAAACAAAGAACGAAATGGTTGTGCCCTATCCAACCAGCCGGATGAGATGCAAGACATTGCGTGCTAGTAAATCACAGACAAAGAATGGAGGGGAACATTGACCCGCGAGCGGATCACACCGAAGACCCATCCAGAACGGACGGAGCACTGCTGGCCAATGAAAAGCTTTCGAAAGTTATGGCTTCTTCACTCCGCATTTCGGAATGTGATCTAATAGTACCCGATCATGAAAGGTGCCCAGGATATCATCGGTTTTGAACCACATTGACTGCAAAGTGGGCTTCAGTCTTGGCGTTGGAAGGTTGATGACAGACGCAAAGACGCACGAACCTGCTGGCACCATTGAACCCCATGTTTTCCATCAGAAACAAGCCGTTTTATGCAACCTCTGCCATCTCGTAAAGCCACCGGGCTGGCCAAGATAGGACGGATATTTCTTAACACAGGCCGATTCTCGGAACGTGATCAGGCACTTCATGTAAACGCCTATCTTTCCACAAAAGCCAAGAATAGCTGTCCATCTACTGTAGATCTACGCGTGGAGATATCTCCAACTCTCCGCAAGATATGACGTTCTGAAGTCATCACAACTGTTCAAGAGTCGATTCGAGTCATGGAGATCCTCATTCACACGGAGACCTGATTCTTCAGGAATAATGTTCTGGAGTCTATTCACTAGAGACCAGACCATCAAACAAATAAGACAACGCGAAACAAACAATGAAGCTTGGCCGGATGATCCCCCACCAGCCGTTGAAGCGCGGTCTCGGTCTCTCTCCCGCTGAGAAACGCAGTGGTGCCGGACGGACGCTTTGGAACGAACTCTTTTTCAGGCCCTATTGCCTGCCACTAATGACGACAATGCAAAACCCTGACTCGCATTTAGCACCGAAACTTCTGCACCCTCGTGCTGATCTCGATTGGAGTGACGCACGTTCCTGCGGACTAAAAGTCTATTTTTTGTGGGTGAGTGAGGGGTCCCATTACCTGAAAAAAGTTGAATCCAAATGTCTGTGTTTTCGGGCCGGCCATGTTAGAGGTGAGAAGGAAGAGCGCAGAACGGAAGCACACCGCTTCCAAGGCTTAGGCGAAGCTATGATTGAAATCATTCGCGGCTGCGGCATATGCCGCTGCTAGTCGCATACTAGTAGCCGCGGCAGTGTTGGAATCGAGGACTAGCTGGAGGCCGGTTGCCCCGGCTTCTAGCCCGATCATCGCACCGTCAGACAGTCCACGGCCTTTGCCTCCGCGCCATTACCAATAACCAGACCGTGCCTTGTTCTCCATGACAGTCTCCATGTGTGGTCCAGGGGGCACTTGGTGTAACTATCCGGAGATCATCGCTACCACCCTCAAACCCGCGACGGCGTGGCAAACCCCCAGAGTGGGAGCCGGCAACCGGCTGCCCGGCCAGAGGGAGCATCTCTGCTGCAGTGAGCTTTCAAATGCCGATCCCTGCGCAGACAGGCAATTCTACGACGAACTCTGGTCTGGCAAACCGGGTCCAACGGATGGAGAAGTAAAGGACCGGACAAGTTGACGCCTGCAGGGTCCAGAGGTCAAGACTTAGGGCCTCAGCGTCTGACGTTCCCGAGTCGGGGTTAGGACTTGTTGGCTATCCCAAGCGCTCGTGTTGCGCTGCCCTCCACCCAACCTTCAAAATAACCCTTCCCCCGTGCTGCCACTCACCGTTGCATGCCTTAGCTTCCTACTTGCCCGCCATCGCGACTAGTGCGGTTGGTGAAGTTCCGACGAGAGCAGCGGTCAATGGGTCACGTTCCTCATATTGGCTGCCCTGCCCCAACATTTTGCCAAAAAGCTTGTCAAATTTCTCCTCCACCTATCGATCACACCCCTACCGCCGGGGATGAAGGTGGAACAGCAACACCAGAGAATCCACCGTGACCGTCGACGTCCGATGAACAACGAGACATAGCATTACGATGGCGGGAACACTTATACCTCCGTGGTATGTCGGCTCGACACCAACAAACGATGAACAGAACATAGCGAGCATGTTTTGGGGGTTCACGCTTGGAGTCGGCCTATGGAGCGGAGTCAAGGGTTATCGACAAAGCAGGGCCAGTTGGAATAGGACACACAGGGTCAACGTCTACATATGGTTGATCTGGGCAGAATGGATCGCCAGCATAGTCATCGGCATCATATCCTGGTGCTATCTTACATCCATCATTGATCCAAGGTAGGCTCTTCTCCTTCTTCTCAGTAAACCCAGTATCTGATTTCGAGTAGCTTTGAGTACTTCTTTTTCCTACGTAAGTATTACAGAACTTTATTCGCATACCTTTTCACACACTAACAGCAATCGATTGAAGTCGTATTGTGGACTATTCAGGTAAATTTCCAGCAGGTTCTTGACCATCAGTCATTATGGACATCAGCTGATCAGTGCTTCACCAGGTTCAATGTCTTATGCAAATCATCGTCAACCGAATCGCAATTTTGATGCCGATACCTGCGCAAGCCACACGATTGAAATGGGGAGTCTTTGGCATCCTTTTGGCGGTCAACATCAGCGTCTTCTGTATCTGGATTCCAGCTCGTCTTCAGATCAATGAGACATACATCCACATCAACGAGATCTGGGACAGGATAGAAAAGGGCATCTTCCTTCTTGTGGATGCTGGACTGAACCTCACCTTCATCTATTTAGTCAAGTCACGGCTCATTGCCAGCGGCTTGACCAAGTACACGGCGTTATTCAGATTCAATCTGGCCATGATTGCAGTCTCAATGTCACTTGATGTAGGTTTGATTGCTTTCCAACTGTATTTGATCTGTCGGCTTAGCATTTACACTCTAGGTCATCCTCATTGGACTCATGTCCCTCCCGAACACTCTGATGTATGTGATCCTGATTTGAATGGGCTAGTGCCATCGCTAATTATCACAGCTATGCCCAGTTCCACCCGCTGGCTTATCTACTCAAACTACATATCGAAATGGGCATGGCAGATCTGATTGCAAAGGTCGTCAAGGCCTCGAACCCCATGCGCCCTCACGCCGAAACAAGGAGAGACAGTAACGAAGGAGCGCCAGACGCGAACAAGAACTCATTGTCGAAATCGAGGTCCAGAAGATTCTCAGTGCCCTACGTAGCTGGGAGGTGGATGTTGAGCTTCGAGAATGTACAGCCCAAAAGAAATACCACAGGGCCAGAACTCGAGCTCGGCATACAGGCCAACACGTTCTCAGGAAGGGCGACAGAACCAGAAATTACGCCGCGTCCTCGTTCGCTCTCTCGTCACATAACCGAACCGCATGGTATACCTGGGCTGGATATGACGCCACAGTCAAGGACTAGTCGCCAGGATTCTAGTAGTACTGTGAGAGAGCAGGACCAGGATGTTGCGTGGTACGTTTAATAGGGAAGGCCGGAATACATGATACCCAAGGAGTTCAAGGAATTGAAAAGGCGGCGTTACACGGTTAAAAGCATCTAGCGGAGTAGGAGCATTGCCACACAACTGTGAAAACATTTCATTGTCAAACAAAAGTATAATACGTATAAAACTCGGGATTTATTAGCGAGCACTCTTCACATCATTTGAGATTTGAAACGTGTATGTATGCTTCATTTTTCATCTATGGCTGGTTAGAAAACTGGGACTTCTTCGTCGCTGGCTCCTAAGAGAAATCCCGCAGACGTGTGTCCCCCTTGATCACATCAAGAACCTCCAACATCTACATCATTTAGCTTTCTTTTACAGATGAGAAAATCGCCTCAATTGGTAGACAAAGAGTCGAATGATGAAATATGCTGGAAATGTGTTTCGCCCTGGTGTATATTCTCCTCGCATCACTGCATGTCACGATAGACGCCCTGCAAGGCTTTCACTGCCAAAGCAGTAATGGCCCCTTCGCTTCCAATCAGAATCCCAGAAAACCCATACCGATACAAGTATCCCATCCAGCTACCATCGCTTCTCTGCAAGTCCAGTAAGACCTTTATGTCCGGTGTGTTGGTCAGGCGCATGTTGTTCGAAGCAAGCAGACGGAGCCCGACACTTGACGCATCGTTTGTAGATCCCATGCGCGCTTTCAACCGCTGACAGAGTAGCTGACGCAAGCTTTCAAGTTCATCGGCATCAGGGTTCTTGGAACATAGTTCACTGAGATAGTAGAGCAGGAAGTCCGGCAGGTGGTAGTAGCGAGTTCCATGCTCAAAAGCGCCTGTGCGGAGCATATCCTCCATGAAGTGGAGCGCGGGCTGGAGTTGATTGCCTCGTCCGCTGGCGTAGAAAACTCGCAGCACATTGGCTGAGATAAAAGGATCAAGCCTCGGCCTGCCTGGGTCGAAGTAACACTGAACATAATCAGATCTGAGTTGGTTTCAAGAGTACATCCAAGGGGCCCAACCTACATATGCCAGTCCGTCTGGATTCAGAAATTGGAAAATATTATCCATAGCCTTCTGCTTGACATCGAAATCAACATCAAGCGTGAGAAGAGCGATAGAGGTAGTGTCGAGGTCCTCGGGAAAGACTTCTGTTGTCAGCACTGGAGGTCCGTAAGAAAAGCAGTTCCATTGGCCTGAAGGGGGATTCAGTTGGGCGATATCGACAAGTCCCCTAAGAGAGGTAAAGTAGTTAGTATCTCAGGCCAACACATTGTCTGGGTTGATTACTCACCAGTCATTCGTCCAATGCAACAAAAGAAGCTGCTGAAACTGCTCCCGAATCTGAACACCAGTGTTGGATACACACCACATGTCCTTTGCGTGAGCTCGGAGCCAAGATTTACCACGCTCAACGGGATCACCAAAGAAGTTGTTCAGCTTCTGGATCACCCTAACCGTGTTATCAAACAGGACTCCTTGCATCCCACGGCATTGGGCGCAGATGACATTCTCCGGTCGATCGTCAACAAACACAGTTGATTTTGCATCTAGCCCCGCAGCTTTGAGAGCTCGATCAAAAAAGTCTTGCTCCGGCTTTCGTACACCCAGGCTGGCTGAAGTGTAGACATCATCAAAGATATCCCAGCTTCCAACCTTGGAGCGAACTATGTCATAGCTTTCGGTAGACATGTTGGTCGCAGCAATCACGCGGAGTTGGCCGCCCGAGTCCTTTTTGAGATTTCTGATAGCTGCAACAAAGTCTTCGTTGAGTGTCAAGGTCGACGATACTGCATGGATGGTTTGTTGTAGGGCGCCCTCCGCAAGTGCGAATCTCTCCTTTAAGGCCGCAAACACCTCTGATTCCGTCGACTTGCCTGCCTCCAAGCTGTGCCACTCAGATGATTCAAGAACGCGCTTGAATACTTTCGTTGGAATTGGAGCATCCGGGACGGCGGAGAAGTTGCAGAAAACTCCGCCAATGTCCAGCATCAACGCAGTAGGTCTTCCATTCCCACCACCCTGCTAGCACAGCCAGTGCTGAGTTAGCAAACCACTCTTGACATACCCCATGATGTTTCCCATTGTTAACATACCTCGGGTACGCCATTAATGCTTTGGGAAATTGGGATAGGCGACGAGTGATGCAACTTAGCCATGGTGACCAAGATTAGGGACTAGAAGCGCATAAAGAAAATAGGGTATTCTCCAGGAAGACGAGTGGTTTAAGGAGAAAGGGAAAAACAACTAGATGGCACTATCATTGAAATATATATACTCTTCGACGTGAATTACCCACTCTAGAAACCAGACATCATGATTGGGCAAGTTTAGTGCTTGAGCATCGTTGTTCTGTATCAGTCAATTAACAGAGATCGTCCAGGCTATTTCAAACATTGGGAGGATCTTGCCAAAAGTTCCTGCATAGCTTTCTTCAATACTCCCCTGTCAAAATTTCGTCACTGAGCTTACGAGCCAGCCTGAGCGATCTTTCCTCAAAGGCTGCGCGCCAAGTCGAGGATCTAACGTAAGCTCACGTTCAATCCTACGTTTGGTCTGACATGATGTGGGCTGGCAGATCAATGAATCGGGGTTCATCTCGCCATCGATTTAAACTGAGAGATGCAGTAAAATTTTTGATTCTGCCGGGATATGATCAGTGAAAGGGCCGATTTTGAGCTTGGGGGAAAGGAGGGAAATATTCCTGGAACTTCGAAGCGCATCACATGTTTGGCTCAAGACAAGAATGATGTTCACATCTGATTCTTGTTTGGGAGGGGTTTCATTACTTCCAGATAGTGACAGAGAGTTGCAGAGAGTTCTGCAATCAATGAAATGAAGCTAACTGATCCTCCCTGGCTTGCTTGGCAATTGCTATGGATGAAGCACTCGCCTGCAATGCATTTTTACCTTCCACCCAAGTCGAAGGATCTTACCTAGGCTTAATCGATGAAGAGACTTCGACAGAACATGGTGACAATCCCCGAGAAAAGCTGATCATGCTTCGCAAATATGCCAACACTACCTACAGGCACATGAATCCTCTCAGAAGGTTAGGAATGTGCCATTCATGGGGCTAAAGAAAAGGTAGCGTCAAGATTGCCTGTTATTATGCCTTAGAATCAGCCAGTCGTTTCAGTAAAGAAGCTCCAACATGCTAGCACATATGGACTGCCTGTTCAGCTAGACTCTTCAGGAGAAGGTATTGGTTCCACGAAATTGCGCCACTACTCGATCTCAAGCTCTGTTGGTCGCATTCTATCCAGGCCGCATCCTGCGTGGTTTCAGTGAATGGATGTTATCTGCGGGAAACGTGCGTGCCACATGGATCTACAATATATCTTCCTTGATGTTGATGCAGGACGACCGTAACATGAAATGAAGGAACTCTGAACCAGATGATATATCAATCATCAACAGGAGCTGCTAAGACTATGATTCTTGAAATTACAATAAGGTAGGCTACAGTCATATAAACACATGTGCGGCACTGCACATATTTCTTAGAGGTAGTAACCTCGATGCGATGAGGAGTCTCGGAGCTCGTCCGCAAGTTTGAGGTAGTCGGGGAGGGGAAGCCCACCCTCCCTGCATGCTAGACGCCTATGATAATTGGATAAGTGGTGCCTTATTGCTTTGGCCCTGGCGCTTTGACACATGCTGTAGTTTTCATCATATCATTCCACTTGTGACTCATAATTACTTCGCGGCAATTGGCCACCTACTTGCTAAATGTTGAGTGCTATTTCAGCAGCTAAAGCCTGAACACAACTGCAGGAATCTACAATTCTCATGTGAGATCGAGGGATTTTAGCATCTGAAATCCTTGGTATATAATATCATGGCGCTGGGAAGAAAAAGTGTCATTCAAATGGTTCGTCTAATCAATGTCACCAGCACTACCGAGGTACGTTTGTGACCTAGGTCCTAGATTACGGGGACATAACAATTCCACAAAACCCCGGGAATTTTCAGAAGACATACGCCATTTCTCGAGGGTCAATTTCGTTTAGTTAGACCCTGTTTTGTGTGATATATATGAATTGGATCGCCATGTACAACTTCTCACTCAGTTGCGCTGTTGTCGCAATTGATAACAGCGAGCCCGGGGCCTTCGAACCCCAACTTTTCTCACTTTTTCTTGGGTATATCTGAACTTTCCTGGCCGGAAACATGCTTAACTGCTCGCAACGGCACTGAAAAACTAATAAACCTATGCACATCAACTTGGTAGTGACGTCGCATCAGCCTCCGCTTGGAGACGCAGATGCATATGTGATGTGTGCTAGCGTCTTGGGTGAACAAGTCCACAGGTAAATTGATTGCGAGATATGTCATCGATCATTCGATCTTGAAAGTTGTTGATCCGTATCGATGTGTACTTTAACAATACATCGACTGAAATCCACTATACGGTGATGGATTTCAGAGCGTGAGGATTACTGGTACCTTGCTGGAAACCACCATGGAGAGGACCTCACTTGATGTAGGACCATTTTCTCCATCTTCAGCATTGCCTAGCAAATCTATCTGTCCTAGGCTTCCAGCTCCGATCACCTATTCCATAAGGCGTCAGTCTCGGGCCAGCTTACGTAGCTTGATGTGCACAAAACAATCGTTCTTGATCATCTGGTTCAGGCAGATGGGGGCTGGAGAAGTATGAGGTGGGACATCCGGCTACCCACGGAGGGGGCCGCATCATGAGACCTTCGGTGTGAGCAGGCATCCCGGTCCATCCGCACAAGAGTGCACGCGTTATGAATACATCTGCGCCCATAGCATCAATACTATTGGCATATTGTGTCCTTGATTTAATGGGCCCTTGCATGTTTTCCTTTCTGAAGGTTCGAACAAGCTCGTTTCCCTGACGGCCCACCTTACCTCGGTGTAGCGTCGCTGATTGAAGAGAAACTAATGGCCAGAGCTGCAGCTACGGTACCAATTACTGCGCAAATGTCTATGAATTTCTGGTTTCGCACATCACATCATTGCTTTGGGTCTTACAAGTCGCCAAACTTCCGTCTAAACCAAATTCATGCATACGTCCCAAACTCTACATACGCAAGTGCTCATCCCGTCAACGATGTGTTGATGTCGATACATACATCTCTCGCATTCCTGCATCTGTGCTCGTTCCCAAAGTTTTGAACCGCATACATGTCATATGACGAGAATCAGAGATATACATGTGTATATATATGTACATGTGCAATTACATGATGTGAATTCTTCTCTCGCAGTATCACTCCAAACGAGCATGGACCGTCGCTGTCACGTAGTTGAAGGGATGTCATTTCATCTACGACCTAGCCAGTCGTCTAGTGAGAAGTAGACCACGGTCTAGGTTTAAGAAGATTTCACTTCACGCTGGATCGACTATTGACTGTAAGTAAGTCGGGGACTCTGGGGGTTATGCCTTCAGCGTGATTCCATCGGAATCCGAAAGGAGATCATGCACGTCAATGACGACAGATGTGATAACTAAAAGGCCAAATCTCTACCTCAGCAACACGCATGGCTCTTGATATGCATTAGAGAGAGTGGCTTTTTGAAGAAATCACATGATGAAAGTCGACATTCCTCGATCGCGTGCTTCTGAAGAGTTCCATCGTGACTCATAGTAGGTAACTGGCGGCAGAGGTCTGTGCTGTCATTATCTAGGAAGATACCTGGCAGACGGCCACAACGAAGCGGCGGGGAAAACTTAGCCTTCCACGCAGATTGTCAAGGCTTGATATATAAACTCAGATACTGACCAAATCGATACCTTAAGAGAACGCATGTGAGAAGTTGAGTTAATGGTATAATTCTATCCAGGTAATGCTCTTAGCGAGTCAAATAAGTGTGCAGATGGTGCAGCCAGCCTTCGAAGCTAGCTCAAGTAGGCATCTATTATCTGCCTGCTGCCTTGGAGATTGAGAAAATCTCAAACAGGCTCCCCAAGAATCGCGCGCCAGGGTCCAGACGAGGCATTCCAAAAACATCAATGTTACGTCTTTGAGGTTCTCCAAAGATCTGAAGCAGGCTGAGGTGGCCTAGCTCTCACTTCGAGCGAACCACCCGCGCCGTATTGCCATGGCGTCCCGTTGGGCTACATCATTAGTCCACCTTGCCGTGCACCATTGTGCACAGGATCAGCTGTCTGGAAGCGACACAATCTGACGCCTTTAAAGCCGACCCCACTCCCATTTACTTCCGCGACACACACTCAGACATCTACATCACCCTTTGAGCCCGTCATCATCGCCACCTACCAAAATGAAGCTTCTCAGTGCCATCAGCCGGACGCTACAGTCTGTTGAATTTCCTCCACAGTTCCCATACGCCACCCTCTCTGATTCGTACTCCGCTCCTGGGCACGACGGATTGCATCCGTTTGACTCGGCCGCCGTGCAAGGGTTGAGCCAACAAGCGATCATCGATAAAGCCTGTCATCTTGCTCTGCATAATGGATTAAACTATATATGGATTGAATCGCTATGCGTTAACAGGGACTCGAGGTCGGAGGTATCTGAAGCCATTAATTCTGGCTGGAAATATTTTCAATCTGCGGCTCTCTGCTTGGTCTACCTCCCTGATCTTCCCTGCGGGACCTCTCAACCTGACGAGGAAACGTGGAGGCTATCTCGATACTGGTCTCGGGTCTGGAGTCTCCAAGAGCTTGTATTTGCCTCAAGGATCTGCTTCTATGACTCAAGGTGGCATCTTCGAGGTGATACTTCTTCAGAAGGATTCTCGTCCTTGCTTTCGCGGGTCATCGGCATCGATGGCGATGTCCTAGCCAAACACAAGAGCGTTCACGAGATTTCGATTGCACGGAAAATGTCATGGGGAGGAGGCAGAATTTCACCCCGTGCAGAGGATTTATCATACGCCCTTCTTGGCATCTTCGGTATTCGCATGCCGATTGCGTACGGTGAGGGTGAAGAAAGCGCTTTTCGGCGTCTTCAGGAAGAGATTCTAAGAACGACCAGCGACATGACTTTATTCGCCTGGACGAGCTTGGACGACACACTCTCAAGAGGCATCTTTGCTAGGTCGGTCGAAGAATTCAGGTCATTCGGTCAAACAGAGCTTGCTTCTGCCCCATTCCATCTGGATGGATTCGCCACATTGACCAGCCGAGGCGTTTTGATCCGAGGCAAATGCCTAGAGCAGAATGGGGATTTATTTCTCGACCTTGGGATGCAACAGAAGGAGCACAGTCATGCTAAACGATGCGGTATATTAATTCGCAAAGGTCCATATGGGACTTACCACCGTGTGTTCTCAAGTATGACGCAGATGGTATTGGCAGACGAGTCTGTCAAATTCAAGCGGCTCATTGTCGAAGCAGGCGATGTCAGCACCGCCGAGACTTCCAATGATCAATATCCAGCACATACACCCCCTCAATGGAACCTAGCGTCTCGACAAAAGGAGTCTGACAGCAGCAATAACGAACTAGTAGAGACGAGCGATTCATGCTGTGTGTCACCAGATGACAACTGCTTCGCGGCGAATGACCCATCGACTTTCCAGCACTCTCCACAGCCACGCTCATTTATCAATAGTCCTTTACCCGAAGGGAATGATACTGATTGGGTGCATGTAGGGGAGTCTTGGGCAAGCTCGGGTCGCTTTGGTTCATTCCACCAGGAATCAGACCAGATGTTAGTGGAAGAAAGTGATTACAATACTTCTATGTTTTTCACCAAAGAAGCGACTGCAAAACCTTCATCTCCTGATGGTAAAATTGCCGAAGCCTCCGATGAAGCCATCTCTGGGAGCGCAGTCAGTTCCATTGAAATGACAGCTACTTCAGAGGACGGAATTTCCCCTCCTCAGACAGGAAACCTTAGTTACACGACCCTCGCAAGGCATCTAGCTAGGCAAGCTGTTCGAAGTTTCCGTAAAGCTCGCCAAATCAACACTAGGAAATTAGAAAGGCAGAAAGCCAGAGGCAACAAGAAGAAAGAGTCAATCGGCTCACGTCGACATGAGACACATGTGACAAAACGAAGACGCAACATCACCCAATCGACAGACTTTGCGTGTCCCTTCTTCGTCAACAACCCTTGGGAGCATCTGAATTGTCTGCGAGACGATGCTTTGAGCACAATGTCAGATGTGCGAGGCCACCTTTGGAGGTCACACCGCGTGCCCTACCACTGCCCGATTTGTATCCAGACATTTGTGTCTGCTACTGGGCGAGACGAACACATTCTCAAACGCGAATGCAGCTTAAAAGAATACCCGACTTTCCTAGGTGTCACGCAGGACCAAGAGGATCTCATTCAACGCACTCAAGATATATCAGGTGGCAAATATCAATGGTTCGCGATATGGCGTATTATGTTCCCCAAACAGCACCGAAAGCCAAAGTCTGGGCTCTTGAACGACACGATTGGTGCTGAGATATGTAACTTCAGAGCTTGGTATAAGACTAGAGGATTGGCTTGGATCAGAAACTCTGTTGAAGAGCTCAAAGACTCAACTGGATACATTGAAGAAGTGGAAAAGTGTGCCACGGAACTTCGCTCGATGGTGCTTAGCGAGGCTATCAACACTTTCGTTGATGATATTCTGAGGACTGCCCCCTAGTCCAGATTACTCCGCAAATACTTGAGTCCTGTGAGATGGAGGGTGCTGCAGCAGGCAGAAGTGGTGATGGAGTGGTGAAGAAACAGGTTTAAGGCGTTGTCTGGCCCATGGGTTTCCGAAGTCCCTAGGAACTGCTTCATGTAATACGAAATCCTGCAATTTTGGACTGTGACCTTGGTTTGGTCGCACTTGTGAGCAGATTCACTTCCGCTGAGACACATTTCACGTACCAGAATCCACTCCTCTGATGGCCATAAGAGATAAGCTTCAACATTCGTAGATTGAAAATGTGTTTCATTCTGCTCGTGAAGGGAGACTTCAAATAGCGTCGACAGTCTGAGTCCTGACTTGGCATACTTTTGTCCCTAGCTGGATTTTGTTGAACAAGATGGTGAAGGATATGGGCACATTCTTCCGAGGGTTAGAGAAAATGCAAGCGACTTGTTATCGAGGGGCGTGCAGACAAGCTATGTTGACTAGATCTAGTACCACATACAACCAGGGGCAGTTGACTATGAGCGAAATATTAAATTTAAACCCGCTGATGGGTTAGACAGTCCATGACGGTCAAAGTGGTGTCTGCTCTTGTGGTCTTCGATTCTACTCCATATTAATCACTGGATCCCCTCTATATTCAATGTCTGCTTACACTTCTCAACAAGATCTCTAGTCCATGACTCTATACCGCATTATGTGGTGGAAGAAGCTTGGTCTTCATCCTTCTCGGTTTTATGGACTAGACGCCTGACTGGGTAGATCATGGAGTATATTGATTAGGCAGCAAACTCGGCTTCTTGTGATGCCATGAGATAGCATAGATAATTGCAAAGACGTCGTGCAGAGTGCAGACAGGTTGGCGATAGGTTGGAGCCGGAATTTTACTACGAACCCCTTGCCTTTTACGTTTGTCGTACTCTATGTTGCCGCCTCCTGGGATGGTATCAAGGCGCTAGATGTAGCAGTAATAGACAAATGGGACAAACTTGAGAAAATGATGACAATTTCAGATAATCCAAGGTCCAGTACCGAGCAGGCGGTTCAAATGAACGCAATGGAGAGATGTTTGTTACGGGCACTATTGAACTTTTGAACTGTACCCCGAGCGCTCCTTAAACCATGCGTGACGTTCTGCAACTGCACCACCAGTACTAGATGATAGTAATGGTTCAGTCTTACCTACTGTTTGAGCCGCTTTTAGTTGCATACTATACAATACAGTATGTCTAATGATAATTATGCCCATATGGCCATCGGCTAGCAAGATGCTGGTAAGATAGCTGCTTCTTGTTCGAGAGGTACTACACCAGAGTCAGCTTACCTAGATGACTGCGCTAGGTTGAACAGGCACATATACGCAAAGGCATGGACTAAGAGCGGCAGGGCAATTGCTCTTCGAGAGATCTGACGCTGTCGGGACGACGAGTGTACCCCATCGAGTGCTGAATGATGTCGGTACACTACATTCAAGTTTTCTTTAACGCTGATCCCTTTTCGAGTATTTTGATTAGGTATGAACAGCAAATTTTGGGCGGTAATTATAAGAAGCTGAGGAATAATGCGTGATTCGCAATTGCCCTAAGTATCAAGGAGCGAATGTAGAGTGTACTGGCGCTATTCAGCACTTGATATGATAACTCCAAGACACCTCGCAAATTTGATCGATCAACAACATGATACAATATGTCAATAGCCTCCAATTCTGCCGATGTTCTGTCGAAATAATACACGTTATATAACACAACTACTATGCGAGGCTTGACAAAGCTTCTATAAAGGTCCGAAGTTCGTTCCTGACTCCAGTCCTGAGCCTCATGAAGGAATTGCAACGCCAGTGCACCTTTGAAAACCTGACCAACTCCCCCGTAGCCTTTCCCGATCAATTTTACCACCTTTGAACTTGAGGCCAGCAGTGAAAGCACTATGAAAGCAAAAGAAAAGGGAAAAAAACAAGATGCCAAAGATCAGGTCCTAGCCCGAATGTCGCGGGCACGTTGATCCAGTTTCGCATTCGCAATGCCTTAGTTCTGGCGGAAGGAGATTGCTTGTGGTTTGCACTGCATCATTACCAGGCATGTTGGTAAATGACGCAAGATCATCCCCAAGCCCTGCCAACACCCAAGTGTCATCAGAAACCGCGGAGTTGTTGCCGGGCCCTTGTCCTGAAAAATACTCATTTGATAAACCATGACTGCTGCCGTATGGGTGTTGAAGAAGATAGTTCGCGGTGAATGCGGTATTCATTGAGAAGGGAGACTGCTCGTTCATATAAGGTACGGATGGGTACGGATAAGCCGGGGAATTTAAGATTGATGGAGCAATAACTCTATTCTGTGCCGGTAATGCCGAGTTGTTTGCTGTGAGAGCTTGGGAATATGGTCTCTGTGAATTGGGGCGAAATGTATTGTGCAGAGTGCTCGAAGTCGGGTGAGGGTGCAATTCACCAACGTTAACTGGATTTGGTGTCATCGATGCTTGCGTATGGGAAAGAATGGGGTTTGTGATAGACGCAGTGCTGACGACCAACGCCTGACTTTGGGCCAAGAGAGAAGGAGAGGCCGGCCTTAGTTGTTGTGATGAAGAAGAGGCTGGTTGCTCGTGAATTCCGGGGGCATTGGGCGAAGGGTCGAAGTGCTCAACTGGAGAATGCGACGTTGTCTGGACCGCATTAAAGCTGTCAGTGATCCCTCGCACCAACTGTTCGATGACATGATCCTCTACCCCGTGCTGTCTCCCGATTCGCCATGTTGTTTCGGCCATTCTGGGCTCTACTTGTTGCCTGTAAGCAAGCCTTTGGACGTCGTCTCTGTAGGGCGACAAAGGTCTCGGTTCGTCAGGAAAGGCAACTTCCCAGATCCTGAACCAGAACTCCGATTGAGACTCAGCTCGCAGCTTCGTCATCGATGCAATTTCATGTGCCTGGTCTTGATTAAGACGAGAGTCATGTATGTTGGACCCAGGTGGCGGAGAATCGCATGTTTGAGCCCTCGCATGGACAGTGAGCTCGGCATGTGACGGGAAAACGGCGTGGCAAATGACACAATGTATTAGAGGATAGTGATCGCCTCTGTCGGGTTCCGTGAGATGTCTTTTGACGTCTTTCGCCTACACGAAATGGTAGCCCTGACAGTCGCCGTGTGCATTGGGGTCGTGTGCATAGAAGTGGCATGCGAGGATTCTCTTCTTATCCGGTTTGGCATCGATACTTGGGTGCTCCCCGCCGGAATCGTTATTCGAGTGGCCGTTATTGCTGGGAGGAGAGTTACCGTTCGGCCTGGGGTCTGTTTTCCGACGCTTGTTCGCTCCAGCGCCTTTTGAGGTTTCCGCGCTACCACTGCCGCTGCCTACTGTACTGTTCCGATGAATTCGTCGCCGCGCTCCAAGCTGCACAATGTGGTGCTCTATGTTGGTGATCCATTTTCGAAGGAGTTGGGGGATCGGCGGACGAGCGAGGATGGTTTTGAATGGGAGCCAAGAGAGAAATGGACTTTCGCTGATCAAGGGTCTCCGACTTTGTATGTAGCAAGGCGTGGTCGGCGCCCAGTCAGCGAACAGAGCGGCAGCGACGGGCTTGAGGAGGTAAAGACCAGTGCCACAGGTCGCAAGAAAATTGAGAAAGCCATGGCGCTGCTTAATGTCGTCGTGTTCAAAGACTACTACTAGCCATCGAGAGCATGTATGTTGTACTAGAGGGGAGCCGAGATGATCGAAAGGGAGTTGCAATATCGCGTTGCCAGTAGAACAAAGTTGGACGTGGGTAAAATAGACGTGAGGCGAGCTTGAAATAGAACCAAACAATGAATCGAACAAAGGCGTACAGTTCCGCAGGGTGTCGGCTGCGGTAGAACAAACGTCGGCGAGCGTGCAACCCGCTGTGTGGCCCAAGCTGATTGGTATCCGGTTGGCCACAGGGTCCGGGGAGAATGTTAACCCACTTGAAAGCCTCAGTAGCGAGTTCATCGACAGAGATAATTGAAACCGAAACGTGAGGCTTCCAAGGCGTTGGATTGCAAACGGTTCAATACATGTAGGTAGAGCGGATTGTCTTTGCTTTGATTTGTGCAGTTGTGAAAGAAAGGAAGAAAGATTGGACAGGAGGAGAGAACACAGTGACTGCATCTACCTGAAGAAGATTGAACGAGAATGGGTAGCCTTCCCATAATCGTCTTGAACCTCCCACCGCCTCTGCTTTTAGTGCGGCTGCCTTCCCATCTTCTTCTTGATGAGTCTCCGCTGGCGCAGCTTTCCCGCCCGCTGACAGCCCTGGTGCGGCTCTTCTCAAGCGTGTGCCTTCGCCCTCTCGTTCAACCCGGCCAGCTAGCTAGCAATTGATGGATTTCGTCGTCGCACTGCCTTTTACATGCTTGCCAGGGCATACTCACAGTCATATTTCCTGCCCCAGATCTGTCGAGCTGGCCAGCAATGATTCCGCCTCATGCCTTCTCCCAATCTCTCAACCAACGAAATTTTACCTCCCTAGCTTGGTCAGAGAGCTCGTCTTGTGATTTGCCAGCCCATTAAGCCATTGCTTCAAGTTTTGAGATACTAAGCCACCCGAGACCTTTACCCATGTGAAAGGCGAGAGGTTGCCTTACGCCAATGAGTCTCCGGGGATTGACAGCCGGTAGTGTTGCAAGCCACCTTCCACACCACCTACGTCAGTTGTGAGCAACTGCGCGTTGTGGGCTACCTACTTTACCTCTCAAAACGCGCAACTGCTCGTTTTCACGACGTTGGTATGCGCAAGCCAGTTTATCGTAAAGGCACGCCTCGTTTTGGTCCACGCCCCCCGTGATGCGAACCATTCTCCCTGTTCGCAAAGCAAAAAATGGCTCGCAGGTCTGCCATTTTGCGAATAAGCGCAGCTGCTCGAGAAGTCGCTTCCAAATGCGCAAAAGAGTGCTGCGCGTTGGTGGAGGGAAATGCGCAGGTATAGCAGAACTCGTATGTAGACAACTTGAGAGAAGATAGAAAAGATGCGAAAGAGTCCATGGGACTGAAGCACTAGCTATCGTCAAGCATCTTGATGTATTCCTCCTCGAAAAGGTATCGTAATTAAATATTGTGTCAAGCGCGGATCTTCTGATTTTTGAAGATACAGTCAATGACAAAACCAGTCAAAATGCCGACCTACGAGGCACAATCCCTCTACACAGAAAACATGATGTGGGTGTCAATACCAATTCGGGCCCTCCCCCACACCACTTCCGTCATGCTCATTGTTCAGCAGGTCGGGCAGGCACGACCAACAGCCTATGCGAACCACCAGACTCGAGGCGTGGATGAAGGAGGAACCACCAAATCCACTTGCAGCTTACGGCCTCAAACAGACAAGTGGCAGAAGGCAGGAAGGATATTTAGGGATCAAAGACTTCGATCGGGCTTGGGAGCAGGCGACGAGGAAGTGAGAATGGTACCATGTGCGCGTATAGCCTACAATATAGCGAATATTTGTTTCGGTCTTCCCTTGTGTCAGTTGAAGCTTTAGTGCTGGTTCGCCGATGAACGAGTAACAACTGCCATGCCCCTACCGTAGTCCACTAACTGAGTACTGTACACGCACGCACAGCAGGATACAAAATCGTCCCCAAATTTGCCCGGGCTGTGTAGACTCATTTAGCTCACCCCTCGGCCGATAGCCGTGTCCCAACCCGATTCGTCGTTTGTGCTAGATAGTAATTCAGGCTGTCTACTTATGCTCCGATAGGCGCTATTGGGTGTGGTCTTAGGATCACACGCGTCAGAATCTCAAGGTAGGGCCAATTGCACACGAGGGCTGGCTATAAGTCCCCTGCATTCGCACACCATCGCTGGCATCTCTCAGATCGTATATCTGTTCTGTGACTTCAAGTTCTTAATAGCCTCCCTACACAATCAGCAGCCTCTGGACTTCAATATGGCGATGAATTTCCAAGATACACCATTTGCCAACTACGTATCTGAAGAGAACTCTCAGCTATCCGGTCCGTATGTCGAGATTCTCTACCCGGACGAGCAATGCTGGGACGACCCGTGGCTGCCTCAGGATGGCGATCAAGCTGTTGTATTTTCTGGTGAGAATCTTCAGTCAAACACGAGCATGTAACATCCACTAAGTGCAGGGAGAAGAACCGCAATCCCAAAGTCAATCTCAAGACGACTGGGAAATACCAGAGCTTGTGTCGATCGACCCTTCTCTCACCCAGCTATCTCCCTCAACCGTACTCGGTAGTGTCCCTGTTGGACCTAGAGAAACTCAAGACCTCGGTTTTGGTGGACAAATCTGTCCGTTCTCAATGTCGCAAAGTCCAATTTGGGGTATGGATCGTCGTGAACTCTGTTCATAGGTTGGGCTGACACATCTCAGGCACAACCACACAACCCTTCTCGGAACCAAGCTCAGATCTAGCCAGCTTGACACCACTGCCATCGCGGCTTATCAATGGCCAAAAACCCCTCCCCCTTGGGTCGAGCACCGATATCCATTACAACGAGACAATCCGACCGGCTTCTGCTCCGACATCCAACGCCACGAGAATGGGAAACCCTAAGCGCGTGAGATCCCAAATAACCAAGGGTACAATCTCAGGTCGGCCGAGAGGGGATAATACTGCTTCCGATGAGTTAGAAGATGCAAAAGAAGAAACAGAAGACGACGAGGCAGATGCGCCGGCTAGTAAGAGACTCGCCTGTCCCTTCTATACGTTTGATCGGGTCAGGCATCTTCGCTGTGCTCACTTCCATCTCAAGCGGGTGAAGGACGTGAAGCAACATCTTCTTCGCAAACATCGCTTTCACTGCAGAGGCTGCTATGAGGGATTCAAGGACAAGGAGAAGTTTAGGGATCATGCCAGAAATTCTCAGCAGTGCCAAGCTGGGACCGGTAATTCCCAGTCTGCTGGAATCGAGGAGGGCTTCTCCGAGGATCAGGTCAGCGTGCTTCAGCAGAGGATAAACCCGAGGGATGAAGATCATTCCTGGTACAGCATCTGGAAAATTCTGTTTCCTGGGCAGCCGACTCCTGCCTCGCCATTTCTTAAGAGCGATGTTGAGGAGGTGATTTCGACCGTGTGCGAGTTGTGGGAGAAGAATATCGACAAGGTTATGTTTTCCCTCGGTAACGCTCCATTCTCGATGGGATCGATAACGAATGCAGAGTTATCGGAACAAATTTCGCATTCTGAGTCAGAGACACCGGTGAAAGACGACCTTTTGCGGCTGCTGGGCGAGCTCGCAAAAGTCAGTGTCCCCCGAGGCAATACCGATGGAAGATATGTCTCTATTGCACAACCTAGCGTTCCAACGTCTGCTCCCGGTTCCGCTTCTGCGTTTGAGACAGCCTCAACCCATTTTTTCGACTCGGAGAGATTGCAGGCTAGTGACACAATGGTATGTTCGTTAAAGGCCGAGAGCCCAGGCAACGCGAGACCAACTTCAAAAAAGAAGAACGAGAGATCGCGCAGAAGTGCGAGGAAGAAAAGGTAAATGTAAGCACAATATTTTCTAATCAATAATTCACGATTATTAGATTGGATTACAATATTATTTGCTGTCGCTGCGGGGAGTTGCTGAAACATTACTAGATGATTGAAACCGAGGTGCTTTTTAAGTCTTCGAGGTGACTTCATGGCAACCATGAAGTTGACGGGCTGATATGGTTCAACCCCTCCTAAACCTCCACTGTTTTCTATATAGCTCCAGCGGCTCACAAACATGAACTTTTTCAGTTCAATTCAGACATGAGAAAGTGGCCCAAATGCGTTTCTTAGAGTTCACTTCTCTTTTTGATGTATGTAACTAGCTCGTCCCTTCCCACATAATGCTTAATTGAATCAGCCAAAGGGAAAGCAACCGTAGGCCCGTTCAATTGATTTGCAGCTTTGCACGGGAAGCTCCCTGAAAAGACTGAGGCACATCGTAAGGTTGAAGAGGTTGTTGGAAACATGATTCGGATATTTGATGTGCGTTTTACAGCTGGTTGGATCATATTTTGAAGTTTGCTGGAAATACGTGCAACGTCTATTTGAGTCTGTCTCGTCTGAATCTTTTCTGAACCACACGGAAAGACTCTTTTGGGTCTAACTATCGTTTAATCTCTTCTCCCTTCCCGTCCCTCCTTCTCTCTTCGTTCCTTCCCACCCGGCAATTCGCTTAGGAACGCGAAACGCGCACTTTTTTTGAGCCATGGGCAGGGAAATGTCCCCAGAGTCCAGTCTTGAGGGGCTTCCAAACACCACTGCCGGCTCCGAATGTTTATCCTTGGTCACCAACATGACCTACTCCATGTGGTACGTTTACTTGCGCCTTTCCAGTCAGATAGTCACCGCAGGCGTATGATCTGTATCTCTTCAATGTAATCACTTTACCTTTCCCTCCTCGTCGACATCACAACAAGAGCGACTGCAACATGGGCCAGCTAGCATGCTCAAGAAGAGCTACCTAGCAACAGCGTGCAAATGAATGGCGGACCAAAAAGCGGCTAAATGTTAACGGCTTCATGCACTGGTTGGACCGCCTGTGAAGTCGAAAGCGATTTCATGTCCCTCACAAAATGATGGCTGAAACGCGTCAAGGAAATTCAGGTCGCCTGCATCGATTCCTAGAAATGTTTGCGAGTCCCACCAAGACATCAAGTCCAACTCGCCCAGCTGCGTCCCGCCGAACTGCAATCCCTGGGTCGGAATGAAAGCGTGACCATCCTGGATTAAGTCGTCTTGCGTCTCAAATGTTTGCTGCTGAATTCCCTCGGGGTCATCTTCAGGAGCGCCATGAGCCCGGCCCGGGGAATGAGGTACTGAAGCTACTTCAGATTGACCATCGCCCTGATTCCATCGAACCTTTCCTGCTCGCGTGACGTCGGGATGCTCTAGTACATAACGCACAGCGTCTATGATGCATCTCTGGAGTAGACGCCTATTCTCCGTACTCAGAGGCTCCCGGAGCGTAGCTTCTCGCTGGGTGACAAGTTCTTCGACGATTTCACGGCCCGATTCTTCCCAAAGCTCTCGCCGCAAGGTGCTGATATCCTCGATCATCTTGCCAAGAAAACAAAATGGCGGGTTCGGGCGTGTCTGCCCCGGACAGACAATATCCCACACCGTGTACCACTGCTCCACGGTCGTCCTATTTGGAACTCTTCCCTCCAGCTGGGTGTCTTGTTCCTGTGTAATCCATGGTGGGCCTGACTCTTCCGGTGCATTACAAGAGCGATCCATGAGGTGTGTATCGCGCTCGTCGGGGCCCGAGTACGTTTCCCAACATGTCGGACAGTAAAACTCTGGTCTTCTGTGTCTTCTCCTCATGTGCTGCTTCACATCTCTAATGCGCCGGAGTCGACATTTGGCACAGGCTGCGTACCTACGCGGGTCCTTTCGATAGAGAGGACAGGCAAGATATTCGTGTTCCGTATCATCTCCATCACTACGGTCCTTTTTGTCTTCGGGGTCGGAGTTATCAAAGTTGTCATCGCTCAGGCAATCGTTTCCATCGGGGTCATCTCGCCGATTCTTAGAACCTGCTTGCCGTTTGGTGGAAGGCTGCTGCTGCGATTCTCTAGATTCACGTCCACGTTTTCTGGCAGGTGCTTTTCCTCCTGTCTGGCCCGTAGTCTTCTGATACTGAGTGAGTTCCAACCTTATCTCCAGCTCTTGCAGAGCCTTCAACACCAATTCGTTTATGATACGATGCGAAGCGGGAACCGTTGGAAGTCTCCAGGGTGCCCAATACGGCGCTCTAGATGAAGAGCCGGCAAAATCTCGGTTATTCCGTGGGCGCATGTATCCAGCCTCGTGTGATTCAAGGTCAGAAAGCTGAAGCGTTTGGAATCGCGCGAGTTCCGACTCAGAGAACGGAATCCAAGAATCAATGAAGAGGTCCTGATGCATAACCTTTGTGTCGGCAGTCTCGAGACGGTCAAGATCATGGCGACTCAGTGGCTCTGACCTGTGGAGGCTTGATGTCTGTTCGAGCGTTGCCTCCAGGTGACGATTCTGCCTGTGCCTTCTGAGATTGTCTTGTCGAGTAAACTTCTCGTTGCAACCTGGCATGTCACAGTTAAAGCTCATTGTCGGATTCTCCCTGACATTTTCTTTCTTCGTGTTTGATTTGTATATTTTTGAAGACTGAATCCTATGTTTGGTTGATTCTGACGTAGACTTCGAAAGCGATACATCTTCTGCAGTCGGCGTAGGTAGGCGATAGTGGTAGCGATCCATTGTGCTCGTGATTCCAAGAGTAAGTGACTGATATGATGGTGAGTAGCGGTTGCAAGTTGCTTGTCGAAGGAATTGCACACCCTTTTAAAGGTACCTAAGGTAAGGTACCTAAGGTAAGGTACCTTACTCGGTACCATCTAAGTTGGTGGATTGGGCGAACTAAGGAAAGATGCCTTCTTTCTTTTTGCAATGTTCAAATTATCAGCCCCTCCCTGCGGAGCAATCAGATTGTGAGACTTGTCACGCGTTATGCACCTTGCTGCAACCCACTCAGGAGAGAGCACACTCGTGCTCATAGGAGACGATAGGCACGCCGGTGCTCAGGCCAACCATTTTAGGCATGGGCTCGGAGGTGCCATTTTGTGCTCACAATTGACGTTTTCTCAGTTGATCCCAGGATTATCTAGGAACAACGAAGACCAGCTTTCACTCAACTTCTCTCTCTACAGATATTACTTTGCTGATGTCTTGGGGAGCCCATTAAACGAGGCACGGGGGTAAGTCGCAGGGTCAATGTGATCGCATGGAGGGACGAAGACAGGCCCAGGCACGCTATTTATCTATCAGAATTACGACTTCCTCCTCTTGATGGGCATATTAGCTGCTTCAAGTTCAAGAACCAACCTTTCAAAGCAACAATAGAATGACCAACCCTTCGCGATGTTTCCTTTTGCAAGGTATCCTGAAATGCTTGCCCCTCCCCCGCAATTCGCTAGAGAAGCACGGATCAACGGGTATCCGTCGAAGATGTGGAGACGCGGCACTCGGGTTGACTAATCGCACCGCTGCCCCTCCACGGAGTACGTACTGCGAAGGCGCGAACCGTTTCGGGAAGACTGCACAAGTCCGCACCGAGGGGCCAAAGAAGGTTTGCGAGTCGCGACACAACAGCACGTCTGTCGTATTCGGGTGCCACCCACCGTTGCTCAAGCCTCGAGTCCCAGGACTGCCGGTCGGTTCCTGTGTGGAGTGTAACGGCACGGATCACCTAGGTATTCTGTGGTCCCTGACCATTTGTGAACAGGTCCCTGGGATAGTGGGACGGGCAGTCTAATTGACTTGGTCCCCGTTGCTTTACCTGTCCTTGTCCTTCTTGGTCCAATTAACCTTTCCGAAGCTTCCCTCCCACTACTTCTCGACGACAACAACACGTACACGAAGAGACATACACACACACACACAACTCGCTAAACAACGCGTCAACGACTCGACGGACCATACCGGGCCAACTCTTCCTCCTCCACGATACCCTCACATCGCGAACCACCCAAATCCAAAGACCCAGCGCAGCCAACAAGATGGTCTCAACACGATCCTCCTCCCGCGCCCTCTCAACCGGCCCCGATGCCTCCCCAAGCATCCCCTCCACAGCCCGTGCCGTTGTAAACGCCGCCACAGCCCGCCCGGAAAACAAATCTACCCCGCAAGGCTGGTCCCACGCGCCAACCTCCCTCACCTGTTTCTGGCTCCTCGTCTCTCTGCCCCTCGTCATCTGGGACACGGGCTATGTTCTCCTCCGCCCCTGGACGATGCCCGGCGGCCACCTCCACTGGCCCGTCTGGGCGCCCTACAAGCTCTACGGCGAGGTCGACCACGTGTACGGGTGGAAAGCGTTCAACGCCGGCAACGGCTTCACCTCTGCGCAGGGCGCGCTGAATGCCGTTGAGACGGTCATGTATCTTGCCTACTACTGGCTGTACTTCTCGCGGGGACGCGCCGTTGACGGGCCGGCTGGGTTGAAGAAGGTTGTGGGCGGAAAGGCGGGCGCGTTGGCTATTGTTATTGGATTCAGCGCGGCTGTTATGACATTGAGCAAGACGGTATTGTACTGTAAGCGCGACTCCTTTGCGACCTGGGCTCTATGGGATGATGATTTACTAACGGCGATGATGCGATAGGGGCGAACGAGTACTTCTCTGGCTTCGACAATATTGGCCACAACCCCCCTCTCGACCTCCTCTTCCTCTGGATCATTCCCAAGTAAGCGCTCCCCAAAGGACAGACGGAGTGAACCACTATACGGAAAGGAAGCTGACTTTGAACCTCAACCATAGCGGCGCATGGCTCCTCGGCTCAGGCTACATGATTTTATCCATGGGTGGCGAAATCGTCGACGGGCTGGCCCTCGCGTCAAAGACGACCAAGACCGAGTAATCGACACTGATCGGTATTTGCGACGCACCGTTGCACTCTCAAACTCGGGTGATAGCAATCGCGCGAGGTAATCAAGGTGTCTTGATTCTGTACATTCAGCGCTGTGAGACGCGCGAGCACGCCAGCAGTAGGTGAAGGCCCGGAAACCGTACTGGATGGCAAATGGGTCAATATAGTACAAGAGATAAATGGACATATGCAGTAATGTTTGATATGACAACAGCCCCATCTACACCCTCCTGAGTGGGCGTCGAGCCTGATTCGTTGCTGCGCGCGATAGGTTCGCGCATTTCTTCACACGTGCACATCCGCGCCCACGATGGCTGCAATCCTGCAGGTACCATGCGCATAAACGTCACGGGGCGGACAAGCCAGGTCACAACTGTCAGCACTTACACCCGTCATACATCAAGACATGATTGACAGATGAACAGCGGACTGGAAGGCATGCAGCCTTTTAAGAGACCAGCCAGTACCACCCTGGTTACGAATTGTTCAGTAACGTAGTGGTGTGCAGACGTGTCAGTTCAAGATGGGTTCGACTTGTTCGACATCATTTGTGGTGTTCAGTCACGGTTCAAGTAGAAGAAAATTACGATTCTCATCAAATCTCTTTCCATGATTTTCAGTAAGGATATTGTACAATGTGCCATAGCATGGCTTTAACTCCTTCCCAGCCCAACGCCTGTATCAATCATCGCCATGCGCAGGCCTGGATAAGGAGGGTGCGACAGGGTATCTCGTCATTTCCAAATCAATACATACAAAGAAAACAACACAAGTGGCAGCGTGCCACTATCATGCGTACATCCCGGCCGGAGTAGTACTCAGTACACTCGGTCGGTCTAGATATTCAGAGGCGAACAGCTCGTAAGACCACCAAGGTCTTTGAACTGCTCCCACACAGGCTGCACATCCAGCTGCCCCAATACTGGGGACTCATGAATCGGAATCGAAGACTTGCGGATCTGCAGGGGAAGAGGCTCCAGCTCATGACGGTGGAAGTCCGCCTCCTGCTCCTTGATGAGCTCCTCGTAATCGTGGGCGTAGCTACCAGCGCCGCCCCCGATAACACTGTGGCGCCGGTTGTTTGCCGTCCACTCCGAGGAACTGGCACGAGGCGGCGTTCCCGCGAAGGAAAGCACATTCCTCATGCGCCGACGGCCACGCAGGGGAACAGGGCTCAGCATAGGTGACTCCTGGTTCGGCCAATTCTTACTCGGCGCATCAGGCGAGGTCGGCGGCGCCGTGGAGTCGACGGTGGCGTAACTATGACCACCCATCGAGGGGGCCTCAGAGACGCCGCTGGACTCTGAAGAGGTTGAGAAAGAGCGCGGAGCGACATGCGTCCGAGGCGAGACCTCCGCGGGAGGGCCCTCCCACTTCTTGACGGCGTTGGTGCCGTTGCCGTAGCCGTGGACCACGATCTCGCAGTATGATGCCTTGCGGGGTGCCGGAGCGCATTGCTCCTCCAGCTTGCGAAAAATGCTGAGAGATCGTCGGAAAGGGTTATTGCGGGATAGACTCCGGCTCCGTGAGCGGGCCGGGGCGGCGGCGGCTGGGACTCCGCATGTTGATTGCCGACGGGAGGCTACTTCGTCGCGGCGGGATCTGGCAGTATAGTCGACGTCTGGTCGAATCTCGATTGTGGGCGATACAAGTACAGATGGCGTGCCATGGCAACCCGTTGCCCAGTCCGTGACAGATTGCGACCGCTTAGTATCGGCTGCAATGTCTGCCTGCTTGCGCAGGAGGGTTTGCAGTTGGCGTCCCTCCTTCCAGGGTGGCAGCTTCTCACAAGACACTGCGAGGTGATAATCCACATCAACAGTGTCGCGGACTTCTGGTGGTGGCTGTGTGCAGCTAAGCAGCACTTGGTAGACTGCATAAATCAGAATCCAGCGCACCTTGCGGGCGTCCACAAGGCTGATCTTCTCGGCCTTGTCGACGCGGATAAGAGGTGACACGGAGTCCTCTTCGAACTTCCGGTAGGCGCGGACAAAATCGTTGTCCAGGAGTGCTGGGTCACGCATGTTCATTGCCTTGATCATGGCACTGTGAGCCAGTAGGCGCTGATCCGGCTTCAGCTTGTCGCCTCGCGCAGTGTTCGCCAACCATTGCAGTGACATGCGACGGGATGCCTTGTCGCTGGCAGTCTCGGGCAGTAATGGCAGCGGATGCCTCAGAGACTTGAAGTTGCATCGCTCATCGAATTCTTGAACGCTCTGCACGGCGCAGATCCCGCCTTGCGCCAGCAGCGGGCTGCTCTCGATTGAAGTGAACTCCTCGTCTACGAGCAAGTCGTAAACGGCCTTGAAGTCCTTGCACATGGTGCTGAAAATCTCAGGGTCGAAAATAGTGCTGCTACGAGTGTCGAAGGATAATGGCGGGTAGTAGCCAAACTTTGTCGTGTAAAATGATTGGATAAAGGATCGAAATCGGTCCAGGTGGGCACGTCCGCCTGCTGGGAGGCCGAGATGTGTCTCAGAGAGCTCTTCTTCCAGGAAGTTCTTAAGCATGCCACCAGCTTGACTAAGCCTTGAATTCATCTCAGTCCGCGCCCGTCGAATCAGTGTCTTGGAGACTGAGCCAATATGCTATGTTCTGTGAGTAAAACGTGCAGCCGTTAGAACTGAGCGAAACATACCTGATACTCAGGACTGTAAAAGAGCTCCTCGCTCATTCCAACACAGTGACTGAATGCGTCGACGTACAAGTCTTTCAATTGGAAGACTTCAGCCAAATGCAGCATAGCAAGTGCATGTTGCGGCAGACCCTTGATGTCGTAGTAGCCCTCTTCATCTAGGTAAGAAGTGAGATCCGACACATTGTCCTGTTCGTTGCCTCTGAACTCCGCCATGCTATTGAGAAGACCAATCAGCGCAGTGCCGAGGTGCTCGCCAACCACTGAGCGCCGAAAGATCCATGCAAAGAAGTTTCTCGTTGCAAGATGGTAAGAAAATGCCTGTTCCTTATCGGCCGTTGGGGGTGCTGGAATGTAGAGCTCGATCCGCTCATTGGGGTTGAGAGCATTCCACCGGTCCAAATCATCATACTGGTCATGAAATGAACCTGGCGTCTCAGGCATGTCGCGGGCCATAAATCTCTTAACAAACGGATGACAGTTTGCTGAAAGCAAGGCACCGAATGGAACCTTGAATGCAGGTCCTCTGCGGGACTGCCCCTTGCCGTACAAGTGTACGAAGCAGTTTCCACCGCGGAACCATAATTCAGGGTCCTGAGACAACAATGTTAGCGAACAATTTCTAGTCAAGAGACATTGTGCCAGTAGACTACTCTCACGACGACGGACAGGATTGGCTTACTCTTCTCAGATTATCCCAATCACCGCAAGACCTTGCCGCTCCATCCCACCTCTTGACTTTTGAATTTTGAGGCATCCTCCCCTCGATAATAGGGTTCCCAAGGGTCTTAGGCGTCCAGCCTTGTGTTGACGTTGTTGACATTGTGCGTGTGGGTGGTAGAGACATTCGTTTTCGAGAATCTCGTCGGCCGTACATGGTGAAACTTCAAGCGCGAGACAAGTCGCGGGATTAGGGACGTTGATATGGGCGATCGTTGAATAGCTCCCGTGACGGGAAGCCTTAGACCACAGCTGGATGCGGCCAGAGAGCTTCACTCAGATTGAGAGTTGACAGCAGTGGATGGCGCCGATGACTGCAGAGGAGGTGTTCCGGACCGCCAATAGTCCACAGGAACCCCTGTCAGATCTGCGTTGATCACTGAAGGGATTGAGGTAACTAGCGGATGTACCCAGTACGCCCGTAGCAGTGAACAATGACTTGGGATCGTCACTTGTCCACGGCCTTGTCGAACCTGGTCGAAAGCAGCCGGTCCGGATGGGCGAGAGAGCTGTGGTTGGATGGGGAAATGGACGCCGAAAACCTTACAAAACGTCTTCGGGTGGGCGTTTGGATGGCTTTATGTCACTTGTCCCGGATCAAGAACTGACTTGACCCAAAATCCGGGACTGGGCTGCGTCCTGGCAAAGACCCGCCAGCTTGCCCACGGTCCGAGCTGCCTGTCGAAGAGTGTCGAGTGACGCGGCGGGAGACAGAGGGATAGCTCCAAGCCATGTTTTAGACCGGGCCGCCACTAGAGCATTGGGTGAACCCCTCAGTCCGGACCCTACCCTGGTCTGCAGCTTCTTCGAGGACGGCCAAGCGAATGTGCCTGTCATCCACAGCTCTGATGCGCTGGCAGTCTCTTCAGACTTTCTCAGACTCTGTGCAGCAGCATACGCATACAGGCGTAATGAGTCTGTTCCTGAGGAACGCTGCTGCAGCAGCATCCGTCAGCTCCAGGCTGTGCCACTGCAGGCTCCCCGTCCGTGAGCCGACTTCTCGCAAACAAGGGCGGCGAGAGGCATCATTTTGCCTTTCAACGGCGACGTATGATGTCTGGAGGTCTCAAACAGTGTCTGCGTCTCCACAAACGCTGTTGTGACGGAACCCAAGGTAGTCGACGTTGAAGCGATCGGCAAGGCGCCAGATGTGACTTGTTCCTCGCTGGCATGAGCATTCTTGCGTATGCAGTCCCTTCTCCCTGTGACATTTTGGGAATGCTAGTGATAGGGTGGTGATGCAAAGCGTCGATGCTGGCTCGCCTCTACCCACCATCAGCCCAAAGTCCGGGGGCTTGTCTTTGGGGATCGCCGTCCTCGATGCATACTTCGGCGCTGGCTTGCATCGACAAAGAAGCTCAGTGATTGGTCAGAACCGCGTCCCGCTTGCTCGATTGAGCAATGTCTCATGAAAATTGGCGACTAAACCCCCGGGAGCTGGGCTTCCCTTTGCTAATTGTCTTGGGACGATCGCAATCGGCTCTCTCCTGCTGAATCATCAGTCACACGGCGGCCAAGATGTGAAGTCATCCCAAGGTGATATAACGGCCACGATCGCATCCGGGAGGTGTGGATTGGAAATTGACCGTCTTCATCTTGTTGAGAGGCAACATTGAATCTAGGTCTTGCATCCACGTAGGCCTGGCGATAGACAGCATCGGGACCAAAGAACGTCAGCCTGCATGAGGGTATTCGTCACAGCGGGAAACTCCGTGATGTGGACCGGGGAGTTTTGAAAGGTCGGCCGCCATAGAGGCTTCATCGTCGCCAGATCAGTCCGCTTTCCGTAATTACTGTTTGTAGTACAGATAGGTTTAACCTCGTGCCTCTCGTCCGCCTCTCTCACTTGTGACCGATATTGTGCTACCTCGCCAGAAGGTTGCTAGTGATGGCCGGTGCTCGGGATCTACCAGGATAGCCCAGCTTGGAGAACCATCGCCATGGAACGATGAGCGTGCGTTTGGGTTCCCTAGCTTCATGCCGTCGGCCGACAGAAAACCCCTCTTTCCCGTGGTTGGGGCCAGCCTCAGAACTGTTGCTGGCGGCTCTCTCTCGACTTCAGATAGATATTTTCCGAGCCGAGATTTCCCTCGTCGGTGTGCCTCGCGTAACAGATTCGACGAAAGCTGCGAGTTATTCGGGACCCAAAACACTGGCGTTGACGCTCTGCAAGAAGGACATGGCCACTTACACACATGCACAGTCATCGACGCCTTGACGGGCCTCTGCCCTGCGTGGAACAGCGGCTCCAAGAGGGGATGCAGGGCATCTGCAAGGCAGAAGCCGCGGTGACCACGGTCGTCCAAGTCCAGCCATCCCTCACGCGGGGCAACATTCATCTTTCCAGAAATCGGCTCAGGGTCATGAGGCACAAAGGAGCTCCGGAGGCGGATCCCACCGCCTAGCAAGGGCTCCCGTCCACCAACGGACCGGAGGCAAGACAGGCCCAGCCATGTCCCCTCAGCCCTCGCTCGCTTCGGAAGGGCTTGCACGACCTAGACCCCCGCGGCTGGCTTTTGGCGTCCTGTCGCATTCAAAGAGGTCTGGACCGCTATCAACTAGCGCAGCGCCGGGCCGCAACGAAAACGTCGAAGCTGAAGAAAGAAGACCCAGCCCGGTGGGAACACGGTGAACGGTAAAAGGAAACCGCAGACGAGTCGGGGTCCGCCAAGCGAAGCTGGCCGGCGGCATGGCGGACGGCAGAGAGAAGCTTAAGACAAGTGCAAGTCTTATAATCCAGATGCGGGAAGCCTCTCGAATCCTCCGACCGGAGACACCGAAGCCTATCGTTGAAGACGTGAAGCCCGTGGCGAGGAGTGAGGTGACAGTCGTGACAGCGTCCTCAGGGCGTTCTTAGCGAAAAACCGACGATGGTTTGACAAGAACCGGTTCTCGGTCTCGCGTGGGTTTGACAAGCTCGAGGCATGTTGATCAATAACGTCCGTCCATAGAGAGAGTTTACAGGTTCAATAGGCGATTTTCCCATGCAGTCGAGCGCAATAACAGGCGATGGACTGAAGGCTAACAGCAGCCTTCAAGGGACCAAGCTGAAGTCCATGTAAGTCGTGAGTTTGGAGGGCCGAAATGGAGGGTGGGATCAGTCAGGGCCGCTTATGTAAGGGAGCATCTGCTGGGAGCTGATCTTATCGATAACAAGACGGTCACTTCTTATCGGTCTTATCAGCTCGCTCTTCTGGGCTCTGGCCGCGCGGGATTTCGGTGAGGAGGAGCATTGTCGCGTCCGGGAGACAGCTCCGTGCAGACTCTCAAACGCCCTTCCTCGAGCCTTTCTGCGCGGCACAGTCGCCCTACTCTCCTCGTGGCAAACCACATTCTTCAATCCGCAGAGCACTATGTCGGCGCGAAAATGGCACCTCTGACCCCCTACACCTACATCCGCTGCCCCTGCTCCGAGACTCACCAGTCCAGTGAGGACGGGTCGTCAACACCAGGAAGCCCAGAGGACGATGAGCGGACATTCGACCCGCGCGCCCCGCGCGCCAACTTCAGCCTTTATCCTCTGGAGCATCTGATGTACTGCGAAGACTGTCACCAGATTCGGTGCCCGCGATGCGTCAATGAGGAGATTGTTACCTATTACTGCCCCAATTGCTTGTTTGAGGTCCCCAGCAGCAACCTTAAAAGCGAAGGCAACAGGTACGCACAAGGTTTACTTTGGTTCAGAGTTCCGGCGTTTGCTAATACTATTGTAGGTGCACACGAAGTTGCTTCCAATGCCCCATCTGCGTTGGCCCCCTCGCTGTTACGGCTCTCGATACCCCGCCCGAGAGCAACCTTCTCACGGCTGATGGAACGGCTCCCCAAGGCGCTTCCTATGTGCTGTCGTGTTCATACTGTAACTGGAGCTCAACCGAGATTGGAGTTAAATTCGACCGACCCAATGGCATTCACGGGCAATTGGCCAAATTGCAGAACGGAGGCCAGCCTAAGCTGACTCCCAAGGAGCACAAGGAGAGGAAAAAGGAGAGCAATGGGGAATATCACTTGAACCCGGAGGATATGGATGCCGAACTGCAGTTTGCGCAGCTCAAGTCCTTCTACCAGAACCAGGTGGCCAGTTCGAACCCTTCAGCGGGTGGCCTATCATCACTGGGTGACCTGGGTCTCAATTCGCCCGGCTCTTTGTCACGCATCATGAGTTTGTACACTGGGAACAACTTTGGCAACAAACAAGCCCGTGGCAAGGTCCAGATCATGAGGGAGGCTGTCAGTCCTGACGAGGGTTTGAAGACGACCGATCTGGATGAGTCAAAAGAGATTGAGAAACTCAGACACACGCATCCCGACGACACAACCACTCAAGCCCAGAACTGCCTACAGCAAGACCACGTACGCTTCCGAGACCAGCTTCGGCCCATCCCCTATCTCCTCAGAACCAAGCGATCCAAGAGATGCCCGCTGTGCAGACACATCATCAGCAAGCCGGAAGCAAAGATCTCCAACACCCGGTTCCGCATCCGCCTCGTGGCCGGCAGCTACATCCCCACAATCACCATCCGACCACTGCAGTCGGAGGTCCAGAACCTCCCCTCGACCGCTCGGCCGCCGATACCCCAGGAACTGTGGCTTACGCCACTCAAGCCCGTGCAGTATCTCCTGACCTTCAAGAACCCCATCTTCGAGACGGTCAAGGTGTCGCTGGCCACCCCGTCGAGCACACCTGGGCGGTTCGCCAGCACTGTGACGGTGCTGTGCCCGCAATTCGAGATTGACGCCAATACGGACATGTGGGACGATGCCCTCAAAGATGACGGCGATAAGGAGCGCAGGAGAGGGGAAGAGGGCGGGATGCAGCAGGCTGAGGTGGGCAAGATTTACGAGCGCGGTCGCAACTGGGTGAGCATCGTGCTGGAGGTCGTGCCTGCTTCGTTGAGGCTTGAGCAGCAGCCAGGTGGTGACAGTGCTTTACGGGAGGACGAGGATGTGTTGGAGATACCCATGTTTGTGCGCATTGAGTGGGAGACGGAAGCTCAAGGCGACGTCGGTACTGCGACAAGCAGGGAGAAGGAGGCAAGGGAGAAGAGGGAGCTGGCTTACTGGTGTGTCTTGGGAGTTGGACGCATCAACCAGGACTAGACTTATGTCAAATGAAAAAATGATACCCCCAATTCCTTTACATAACAGGCGATGGCTTCAAGCAAAAGTGGACATAATCACAGAGATACGGGAACAGATAGTTAAGAAGGAGCGGTCAAGTGTTTTGGTATATGCATTTTTTGGGCAGCCTGTAATGGAATCGCCCAAGTTATATCCCTTTAGACGCCAGACCCTTTTGATCAACCAGTCATTGCCATGCCTTCATTGCAGCAGACTAAATGCCAAACCCATCATTGACCATGATTCCTTTTTAATTTTTCACCAAACACCCGCCCATTGCGCAAGACACTAGAAGAGATAATCTAGTACTCGGCGGAGCCGGACTGGGGGAACTCGAAGGTGACACCGCGGCCGGTAAGCTTGCGGTAGACCTCGGAGTAGGTGTCGAGGCGGTAGTCAACACCGCCGCGTTCCTTCTCGTCGAGGATGACCTTGAGGAGCTTGGAGCCGTCCTCCTTGGTGCGGAGGCGCTTGCCGACGATCTCGACGGGGTAGACGAGGTCGGTGAGGATGGCGTCGTGGACGGCGGTGAGAGTGCGGGAGCGGGGGCGCTTCTGGGTCTGGTTGTTGCGGGAGCGGGCGGAGCGCTTGGGGCGGGGCAAGATGCGGCGGGAGGCCAGGATCAGGACGTGGCGGTCGGAGAACTTCTTCTCGAGCTCACGGGTGAGGCTGTTGATGGTCTTAGTATTTGGTACGTGTGGTTTCAGAAGAGTCAAAACTTACCGCTGCTGGACGCGGTGGAAGCCCTGCAGGGAAGGAACGGGGACAAAGATGGCAATAGCCTTCTTGCCGTGGCCGACCTCGATCTAAAGGAAGATCACAAGTCAGCATGCGAGCTCCAGGACAATGCCTTGGACCGCTTCCCGTCCTGTTCCTGAGATTATCATTCTTTTCAGCGTTCAAATCTCCGCCGCCACGGTGAAGCCGAAGACACCAGCGATGGGCACCTCCCAAGACTTGAATGCGCGATTGATTGCCAGCAACTCCTCTTCCTTGGGTCCTCTTCAATCCTGATGTGTTTCAATCGAGATTAAGGCTTCGGGAATTCCATTGCCTCGCATCGCATTCGTCAATTGGGTGGGGTGTTGCCCATGCAGGTGTCTCCTCATGCTTGATTTTCCGCGGCGGCTGGGAACAGGAATTTCGATTCCGGAGAATTCGCGGGTTCGGAAGTCTTCAGGACTTTTGGGTTGTCGCTTCAAGTGAATCTCACCTCGCGGGCAGAAACGATCTGCAGAGGGCGGAGGGCGACCTTGAGGTCGGCGGTGTTGCTCTCGAGGTCGTACAGAGCCTGGGCAATGTTCTGCTCCAGCTCGGAGGGGTTGGCCCGCGAGGGGCTGTTGGCAGCGATCTTGTTCAGGGCGGCGGACATCTTGACTGTTGTCGTTGGGTGGTTGACGGTCGGGTTAGTCGATGCTGTAACGGACGGGGTCAAGAAGAGAGAAAAAGTTCACAAAGTCGATCGCGGCAGACCACACACAATTCGAAATGCGCCGTCAGAATTTCCGGTGGGTGGATCCTCCCGAGTGATTGGGGTTTGAAAACCCTTGAGTGGTCTGTGCTTTATTGACATCCTCCAGTCATTTTTCTAGAGTCTCTGAGTGGACCGTCGAGCCCACCATCGTATCCACTCCCGATACTGCGCTTGTCTCCTTTCGGTCTTCGGTCAATCATCATTCGGTGAGGGGCTCGGTGAGACCCCCAGGATCGACCTGGGTGATGATTCCCATAGTCCAACTCGGCCGCCTGTATTAGACCTTCTGCGCGTGAAATGAGCTCTTGAATCATTTTCAGAACTTACTTTCAGTCTTTCCTCATTGCTCTCGCACATATTTGGCTCTGTGGTGCTGGTGGTGAAGACTAATTGATATCTGCCTATGAGAAACCGCTGCAAGATGCAACATGAATGCATTGAGTAGCGGAGATTCCCCCGTCGCTGGCTTCGAATTCAGATTTTGAAGATGGTACATGACCAGTTAGACAATAAGTTTACTATTTCGTCTTTGAAATACAGGTTCCGTTCCAGCAAACGTCACTAGTAATTTTCTTGGGTAATTATTTGGCTGTTTTTTTTGGATATGGGTATTATTACATTGGATCAAAAAATCGGCAGGGTGCCTTCCACCAAAATCTGAAGCAGAACCAAGCGAGTGTATATCCAATTCGTAGTCACACAATCTGGGCATCTGTGATTCTTTCAGTGATCACAATTATAGTCTCACATCATGGTCTGCGCCCTCTCGTTCCTCTCCTGCCTACTCATCTCATTACGGAAGACATTACCCTCCGAAGACGAAGGCGGAGGCGGTCTCGGCGGGGGCGGCATCATCTCAACACCCCGATCAGGCGACGAGAACGCATTGTCTCCAAGCCCAATCTTGACGTCAGCCGTCCTCTGGCCACGGCTCTTGCCGACGCCGTAGCCCCCGCCACGGGACGAGAACATGCCCTTCCTGCGGCCGTACCACCATACGAACCAGGCGATGCCGCCGAGGGAAAGCACACCAAAGACGATGGGGAGGACAATGCCAAAGACGTTGGGGCCGCGGCGTCTCTGGTTATTGTTATTGTCGTTCTGTGGGCGGTTGACGATGCTGACCTTGGCTCCCGGGTGACGGGCGGTGATGGAGCCGTTGGTCTGCGGAAGGGCGAGGAAAATTTGGACGGTGAGGGATTCGTTGGCGGCCATGTTGTAGCCTACCGCTGCCCAAGCGAAGTGGCCTTGGGACGCGGGGAGCATTTGGGAGGTGAAGCCGTGGCCTGGGTCGATAGCGTTCGTGACGCCGTAGTCACCCTGGACTTGGACCATTGTGTTGGGCAAGGGGAAAAGGCTAGTATCCCATGTTACTGAGATCCCGTGTTAGTACTTGTTCGTAAGTCGGATACTCTTTTTGAAGGATATGCTTACTCCAGTAGGTCTTGCCTCCGTCAACCTTAGTATCAGCCTTGGGAGAGCAAAAGGGCTGGTTGACGCCGTTGGCTCCCGAAGCCTGGTTGCATAGGAGGAAGGACCCGGCACCGTTGGCATCGGCCGTTGGGAGAGTCGAGCTGCCAGTGAAGGCAGACGTGGTCTTGCCATCGTTGACGGTCGGGGTGATTGTCTTGGCTGCGCCGTCGGCTTGGACCGTCACCCAGGGTCGAAGGGCATCATTGCTCTGCCGAGGAAGGATGGCGGCGTCGATTGCTTGTGACAGAACCAAGACCGTGGCGGCCAGACCGAGGCCTCTTGAGAAATCCAAAGCGACCATGACTTTGTTTCGTATACCAGAGAGAGAAAGACTCGTTTACCAGAACGGAGGCGATACTACAACGTGCCAACTGGTGGCATTAATGAAGGAAATGAAAATTCACTCGAGGAGCAAGCCAGAGTCGGGGACTGGAAATGAGGACTTGCCATGGTTATGTATCAGGCATTAGCAGTGGACATTGGCATGCAAGAATGCGACGAATGCTTATCATGCGTGACTTCCGCTCACGGGACGCCTTGTTTCCTCGTCTTGAAACGGTGATGAGTTTGCCTTCAACCTGAGCGACCTGCAATGCAACCAGGAAACTTCGTGGCAACTGTACTGCAAGTAAGTTAAAGAATTCATCTTCAATATCTTGTCACTTTCAGAAGTGAACATTTTGTATGCTCCAAACGTATCCATGACCGTTCTTTAGCTGCCATACATGCTGCCGTCGTCCATCATGACAGCTGCTACTATCTGCCTAGGATCGAAGGATGTGCTCGTAGCTCAGTGAGGCTCTTGGTGGATGACAAGACGAACCAGTGGTAGCATCGGCCGAGAAAGACAACAAGCTTACCGGCGCCGGCACACTGACAATGCAGGGGTTTCCCTTGGCTCCGGTTTCAAGAGCAAGAAAGCAGTCTCGTTGCTCACTGGACTGAGTGATCAGACCGGTGCGCAGAATGGCTCTGCTGGCCTGACCCCTTGGGTGTGTTGGTTGCATGCTGTCGTGATGGCCCAAATTCCGGGGACCGTTGGGGCCTGAGCTGTCGAGTAGAATTTGGGTGATGAGCCGGCACTGTGCCCATGAAGGTCCTGGCGCTTGCACACCCCGCTGGGTCCCCTTTGTTGCGCTCGTCCTCACATCCGCGGCGACCCGTTGAGTTTTGAGATTTGGGGGGGTATCATCTGCAAGGTTCGGCACTTTGATGGGATTTCTCTGGCGAAGCGAGTTGGTACTTCAGACGGAACGGGTTGGCGATCGGGCCAAGGGGGGCAACGGCCGATGGTTTTCGGTGCCGCGTCACCGGGATTTGTGGAGACACTCCGGGCATTCTCCGGGGGCCGTTGTGCCGGGGCTTCGGGGTCGTGGCGCACTGATGCGCGGCTATGCCTGGCTAGCCAGGAAATAGCCTACGGGTTTCTATCTCTCTGTCTGGAGGGAGAAAGATGACCCGGTATCTGCACATGCCAATCATGGCTCAAACACTCGATCGAGGTCAGCCTAGGTAAGGAGAATTGGCCGTCTTGGCTGGGTTAAGGGCTGGATAATATCCCGGTGGGTGCTATAAGCCAAGAGATCGAGAGTGGCAGTTGAAACTAACTTAGTACATAGTCGAGATGGTTGAAACTTGTGTGGCCATTGCTCTATAGTCCGGCGGGATCATCGCTGCTCTGCATCCCAATGTACTCGCGGACAGGTGGCAGATAATCAATCAGATCTAGCCATCTGAGATCGATCATTCCCGTCCCGTTGCTCCTTACCTTTGACTGCCTGGTACATGTGCAATTAGAACCTAGATGAACCTTTATTCATCCGTTTCGCCAAGATTACGATCGCATCTGCCGGCATTGGCTATTCTCCCCCGGCTCTTTTCCCTTTTGCACTGTATGTCTAATGAGGAATTGAGTCATCCACCGTGGCTGAGGACCCCATCCACGATGATCTTGACCCAAGTTGAACAGCAATTAGCCTGCCCGTCACCCCAACAACCCGCCCGGAGCGCCGGACTATCGAGAAGAAGGCCGCACCGTCCACGCACCGTCCGCGACACCGTCCTGAACGCTGAGGTGCGCAGTGACGTCTCTATGGTTCCTCCTGTGGTTCCTCTGTGGCTCTCTGTTCATTAGCGGCAGCGCGTGCAGCCGCCAACGGTGCGCGATCGCCGGAGCTTCCCAACAAATCTTCCGTGGGAAGAAGGAAATGTGCGACATTTCCTTCATCTTGGGTTTCCTTGGCTGCCATTGCTCCGATCTGACAACCTCCACGCCCGCCCGCCAGCTCAAAGGTCCGCTTACCTGCAGCAAACACCGAGCTACATCCTCCATTAGGACCCTTCCATTAGCTTCGCACCGCACTCTCTCGATCTTTCCATAAATAAATCTCTTCTAATGTTTAAAGCAAGCCCTTTCCCGCGCTCCCTCCCTTCCCGCCTCTTCTCCTCCCCTGCGCAACCTTCACGTCCTCTTCTCAGATTCACCAATACGACCTTGGGATCTCAGCATCAACACCTAAGCAACCACCAGACTTCCAGCTTCTCCAACATCGCCTATAGACGCGCACCACCCTCATCATCATCGTCTACCCCTCCTTCTATCAGACCCGACCGCAAGATGGCTGAAAGCGACATTGAGAAGTACCTCAAGCAAACGCACGACCGCGTCTTTGAGAACAACCGCAAATGGGCCGAGGAGAAGAAGAAGCAGGACCCCAACTTCTTCGTCAGCCTGTCCCAAGGCCAAGCTCCCGAGTACCTTTGGATCGGATGCAGCGATTCGCGCATCCCCGCCGAGCAAATCACCGGCCTCGAGCCCGGTGAAGCCTTCATCCACCGCAACATCGCCAACATGGTCAATAACATTGACCTCAACGTCATGAGCGTCATTAACTATGCCGTCCGCCACCTCAAGGTCAAGCACATCGTTGTCTGCGGCCACTATGGATGCGGAGGTGTTAAGGCCGCCATGACACCCAAGGACCTTGGCCTGCTCAACCCCTGGCTGCGTAACATCCGCGACGTCTATCGCCTGCACGAGGCCGAGCTCGACGCCATCAAGGAGGAAGATGCTCGCTACGACCGACTCGTCGAGCTCAACGTTCTCGAGCAGTGCCGCAACGTCATCAAGACGGCCGCCATCCAGCAGTCGTACGCCAAGAACAAGTTTCCCATTGTCCACGGCTGGGTCTTTGGTTTCAACGACGGTCTCCTCAAGGACCTGGAGATTGATCACGAGAAGATGCTGCACGACGTTCAGAAACTCTACCACCTCCCCGGTGCCGACTTCTAAGCGCGACCGACCGACCGACCGACCAACCTGCCTTGCGTAGCTGTACGCTGTCCCAGTGCGGGGTTGACGGGGCGGGCGAGATGGGATGAGGAGGGGTGGACCGGAGCGTTTTGCACACGGGTGACTCACGGATGGAGTTTCGGCTCTCGACGGCTACCGTTTGTGTGTGCGCGCTGCATGGCGCTCATCGCGACACGGGGAAAATTTTCTTGTTGAGGGCGGCATCTTCCATACCCGTTGCAGATCCGGATGGGGTTGGTTGGCAATACTCTTAGGTTCTGACCAAGACATGCCACCCCACCACAACCGTTCATCCGGTTTAGCTTAGTGGGAACCTGGAGCTGTCAACGAGCCGGGGACCCCACTGCCGTGCATCTCCGAGGGAGGAAAGATCGAGAGGTTGTGGCGGGTAGAGATTGGTTATCAAACAGCTGTCACCGGCGGGATTGTACCGGAGTTGAGGATTCGAGTTTTTTAATGGGATGCGGGAGCTCCTGGGGATCGGAGTAGGTTTGGTGAAGAAATGAGGTGCACAAAGCCAAAAGACTTGATGCTTGGAACTGGCAGTCTTTTCGGAGTAGGACATATCAAGGGAAAACGCAAAAATAATACTTCATTACCCATCACCTAATCTCTCTACTGCATGTCTGCAAAAGAATTCCTACCTCACGTACCACGCAACGATATTCTGTTTCATTGGGCACCATCGCAGCCTTTTTTCTACTAATTCTGTCTAGGTAAATCTTTGACTACATCGACGTAATTTGTAAGGTGGCTGATTTGTACATCTACGAGGTAGTAGGTAATATGAAGCAAACTTCTAGATCGATTTCCTTCACATCTTCATCTAAACCTCATGAAGATGAATAACATTCCTAGCCGCCTCACCGTTAGATAAACCATCTTACTACGCGGGAAACATAATGACTCACCACGAAACGTTCCAGGTATGTCTCCCACCGAGACTCTGGCACATCTTCTTGCTCCCCGTGTTATACGGTGCCACGTCGGCGGACGCCCAACCATCGGCGCCGTACTCGCTAGTACCTCTCTTGATCAACTTCGATGCCAGGGCCTTTGCGTAGCCTCTCTGTCGGTAGGGTGGCTGAGCGGGGTTGTGTGTTAGACTGGAAGACCAAGATTGAAGAGTATTGAAGTATTCTCTTCATGTTGGATTCGGGCATTTTGCACAACTTACCTCGCAGTGGAGACTTGATAACGATGCATCGGTGCCTAAGCAGGAGTCAGAGAGTTACAATGCTGCCGAGGAGCGGTGGGTGATATATGTAAACAGATTGTGGCGGGAGCGATAGACGTAAGACGCCTTGTGCATCTAGAACGCATTGAATACTCACCGAGGAATGACCATGCGATAGGCGTTCCATCCTCTAGTTTGAGACACAAGCTCGGCCACGACATCAACGTCTTTCTATCTAGTCGTCAGCCATTGTGTTCATCTTTGGAAAGCTCCAAACCAAGTTGACAAAAGAAAAACAAACAAACAAATAAACAAGGAGGACGATAAGAACTCACACTTGACGTGGAATATCCGTCCTCGAAACCACAATCTCACAATCCCTCTTCGTAGCCGGGCCCCACGAAGCCCCCTCAGGCAACGTCACTCGGTTCTCAAAATCGGGAATCTCATCGACGCGGAACAGCCATTTCTCGTACTCGTAGTCCTGGCGAGGTGTCACGCGCACGCCGGCTCGGAGCATGGCGTCCCGCGTGGGCGTGGCGAGGGTCCCAACGAGGCATGCGCCGGGGAGCGTCCTGTTGTCTGGTTGTTGTTTGCTTACTTGTGTTACAGCATCGAGAATTGCTGTGACTTGGGATTCGGCTGCTTTCTTGTCCTCGTCCGTGAGAGTTTTGTTGGGGGCGTTTTCGAGTGTTGAGTACATGAAGAGTTGGGTTTCTTTGGTGCTGCCGAAGTCGAGGTATGCTGCGCAGAAGTTGCGCGGCTGTTCGTCAGAGGTTGTGCCATCTTTTTCTTGTGAAGCAGTCGAAGAGAGTGGCGCGTCTGATGCTAGGATGATGCGGGCTGTTGGGCGCATGCCGTCTTTGAAGCGGGTGAATTGGAGGCGGCGGAGGAGGACGAGGGAATTTGGGAGGTGGGATTCCAGGAGAGGGATGAGACCTTCCGGAACGGATGTTTGTATCGTTGCCATTATGACCGATGAGTCTCAATACTTGTCTATTTGATGTAAAGTAGAGTGTTTTTCAGACTTTTGTGTGATGATATGGTGTGCTGCAGCAATGATGTGAGAGATATGCGAGGTGCTGGTATCGGCGGATTAAATATCCGCTATTAATACCTGTAGTGCACTACAAGTAGATATCAGTGCTGCAGCTCTATGATGGCTCTCGATTGAGGGTGACTCATATTCGCGACTCAACTCACGACACCGCCCGTAAAACTGATCCGAAGGAGAATATCCCATGAGCCATGAAAATGCCTTCCTGTCAAAGCGACCTCACTCTGATTACCATAAAGTTCGGCTGAATTCCTCTGAGCCACTGGCCGATTCATATCAAATGAGTTCATGAGAGATGCCGCTGAGAACATCAAAGTCGGTCATCTAGACTCAATAACGCACGGTATCGCAAATAGGAAGGGTCAAAGTTAATTGCAACATGTCTTCGGGCTTATGAGCTGTGAATAAGTAATGTGAAATGAAGAAATGAATTCCATTACCCTTTGAAGTACCTGGGCAAGTGCGATTACTAGGGAGCCGAATTTCGCATTCACGCTTCCGTCACATCCTCGAAAGATACGAGAAAACCGAAGTAAGCCACATTTGGTGTGGGTAATGTAATCTTCAGAACTGGCGATCGGGTCTTTGCTGGTTGCGTGGACTGGTGAAGGTTCGGGTCTTTTTCAAATATGGTTGCCTTCAACTCGCTCTCTGTACCCTAAGTACAAGCTTGCAGGCATTACTCATGCCTCCTTTCTTGTCGCGGTACAGCCGTTAGCTCACTTTCTACACAGTAAAGATAAAAGTACAATGTAGTTGTCATGACGAAACTCAATTTGCGAAGGCAAGATATGAAGAACTGCTCGAGGAGATTTGCCAAAACACCATATAGACGGGATCGAACATAATCGCCGAATCCAGTCATTGGCTCAGTGAGGGACCAGTCCATTTGGGCCTCGAATGATATGCCCCACACAGGGACCGCTCAGTGAAAATCTCATCTGCAAGGCTCTCCAACTCCTCATCGTCTGCTTATTGCATCGGCCTCATATCTTCAGCAAAAGCAGAATAAGCAAGACTCGAAAAAAAATGACCAGCTACGATCGCGACGTCGTCGTCAACTGCCTCAAGCGGCACTACGAGCTACTGGTGCGCATGGGCTACTTGGACGTTTCAGCCGTCGAAATCCCTCCCGCCGCCGGCTGGAGCGACACGGAGCTCCGCGTGGATGCTCTCCGGGCCATGGGCCGCTCCGAGACCGTCATTGATCTCCTGCGGCACATCCCCTTCGTCCACGAGAACGAAGAGTCGGACCCCGTCGAGATTTATACCGAAACGTTCCCGCTGCGGTATCTGCGCGACGGGCGTTGGTTCGGCGGCGCCAACGGTATTCACGGCGACGGCGCTGAAGTGTTTGCCAACACGGCGCTTTTGGACCTCGGGTTTGCGCCGTTTGATGGGCCCGTGCCGGCGGACATGGTCTCGTTGACGCATGCGGACGAGGGGATTTGGTGGTTGATCGATACGAATCAAGGTTAGCTGGACGACGCGCAGAGCTGTTTTGGTTCAAAAGGGCTCTGGGAAGCTGACGCATAGGCCATCACAGGATGCATCTACCCTTACGGGACCGAGTTCGACAAACGCGAGGAGGACGTTCCCGCGGACAAGCAGTGGCTTGTTGTGGACCCGGTCCCCATCCAGGCTTACTTTGACAAGATCTATGCCCAGGTCGGCAACTTGGATGTTGTGCCAGCGCCCCGCTCTGGGAAGTGGGAGGCGAGAGTTGTCGAGGAGTATACCGAGGAAGGGCAGGTGAGTACATCAGCAACAGGGAATGTAGACTCGTGACTGATCAAGACATTTTCTCGTGTCGTGCAGGAGATCAAACGGCTGTACGTTGAACACGGATGGCCCAATGCTTTTCGTAGAGAAGAGTTTATTCAGGCCGTTGAGAGAACTCGGGCTGCGTTCATCGAGGCTGGGCTGGGACAAGATGACGATGACGAGGATGATGAAATGACGGGCTAGATAGACCAGACTTTTGGACATGGTTTAAGTCTGAAGACACGAAATAACGAATTGGCCAATGATAGAGACCTATTGATGATTTTTTTTTAGCGCACGGCCATGCTGGTAGGTTTTCGTTCCTGAGCTCAAGTCGATCGCAGCGATAGCTGAACTCAAGAGTGTGCGTGACTTCCTCAAGCCAAGAGAACAGTGATAACAGATATCGGATCGCGGAAGATGGGATCGGATCACGGAAGTTTCTGACATTGAGACCTTGTTACCATGTCCTGACTTCTATCCTTTCTCAAAAGCATAGCCATCTTCAACCCCACAAACCCAAGCCGCAGCTCCCAAACCGCACCGTGGACCAGTCCCTTGGACGGGGACATGGAGGTTGGGCCCATTGATCAAGGATAACGTTGCGGGGCCCCTCGGTGAATGTTTCCTTAGTTGAGTTAGTAATTTACGCTTCTCATCGCATTCAATCACTTTCAATTGATTGCTCACACTGAATTCACTCAGAAAACCCCAGCGTTCCCGGACCCCAGATGTGAGGGCCGACGATATCGGAGCGACCCCGACTTGTTTTCCCCTCGCTGAATGACATCGATCTGCGCCATTCTAGCGTGCTCATTGCCCCAGTCGCTCGGGACTTCTCCGCTCGGAGGGCTCTGCGAGTGCCTGAGTCAAGGGGTCTAGCTCTGTTAAACCTCTCATCTTCACTGATCAATGCTTCGAATGGGTTAACGTCGTCTCCGTCAAGCGGCGAGAGGTTGCTTTCTGAGCGGGTCGCTGGGAAATTGTCTATTCGATAGCAAAGAGAGAGAGGAGGGGCAAAACAACGACGAGGGGATTCGAAAATGCGTTTAAAGCTCTGCGATGGCCGGCCCTGCCTCTTGGCGGTGGTGTGCTCTCTTGTTACCATCTTTCCTTGCAGTCAAGCAGCAGCAGCCCCATTCGGAGACGAGGGACCGAGCACGTCGCCAAATATGAAGTTTTCAACGTCCTTTAACACGCTCTTCGCGGCGTCGCAAGTCGCCATCTCGCCCGCCACCGCGTACAACCCGGTTGAACTCAAGGGCTACGGCAAGTTCACCGGCACCGTCGTCAACTCGACCTATAGCGGACGCGCTCTCCCCGCCCCCGTGGACGCCTGGCTCGGCATCGACTACTCAACACAGCCGGTCGGTGAGGGTCGCTTTAATCCCGTCACCTGGCCCGCGTCCTTCAACGGCACCAAGGCGGCGACTAAGTACGGCAAGACCTGCGTCCAGGACCCGACCTCGACCGATGTCAGCACACAAGATGAGGCCTGCCTCAACTTCAACGTCTACCGCACGCGCGGTATCCCGCTCGATCAGAAAACGCCAGTCCTGGTCTGGATCCACGGCGGCGCGTTCTACGCGGGTAGCTACAAGAGCTTCGATGGTGCTGCTTTTGCCGCATCTTCAAAGGAGCCTATCACGGTCGTCAATTTCCACTACCGTATCAACTCGCTGGGTTTCCTGCCGTCTGCTGTCTTCGACGAGGAGGGTCTGCTGAACCTCGGCATGCGCGACCAGCACTTCTTCCTCCAGTTCGTGCAGAAGCACATCGCCGCGTTCGGCGGCGACCCGGAGGCCGTCACCATCGGCGGGCGCTCTGCTGGCGGTCATTCCGTCGGTATCCTCTACTTCCACAACTACAACGAGGATGAGGGTAAGCCACTCTTCGCCAGAGCAATCCACCAGTCCGGTGCCGTTACCGCTCGTGCGTTCCCCAATGCTACATACCCTCTCTACATCAAGCAGTATGAGGAGTACATGGACTACCTCTCCTGCCCGCTCGATGCCGACAACGCCGCGACCTTGGCCTGCCTCCGTGCCGCGGACATCGATGCGATCCGCAACATCAGCACCAAGCTCTACAACGACTACGACCCGGCTCTGACTTGGCCCTTCCAGCCCACGCAGGGTGGACCGTTGCTGGAGAAGTTTGGCTCGCAGTCCGGCTACGACGGCACATTCTTCAAGGTGCCTGTCATCACCTCCAACGTGAACGACGAGGCCAAGTACTACATGGCCGGCGACAAGGAGACTAATCAGGAGTTCCTCGACTACCTCCACAACATCTCCCCCGCCCTCAACAGCACCGACCTCCAGCTCCTCGAGGACCTCTACCCGGACCCCGCTACACACCCGGATTCACCCTTTGCCAACTCCCCCAACAGCACCCAGTACAACCGCCTCTCGGCTGCATGGAGCGATTATGCCTACATCTGCGCTGGACAGGAGACGGCGTACCGCGCTTCGATCGCGGGTGTGCCGACGTGGAAGTTGCACTTCAACACCAACAACTCGTGGCCTGCGTGGAGGGGCATTCCGCATACCGCCGACACGAAGTACACCTGGGACGAGCCGGTGGTGCAGTACCCTGAGGTCAGCCACATTTACCACGGATATCTGTCCAGCTTCGTTCTGTCCGGCGACCCGAACACTTTTAGGTACCCTGGCAGCCCCGAGTGGCCTCAGTACAAGCCAACTGGTTACGGGCTTGAGTCGGAGCCTGCGTTGCAGCTTATCGTCCAGCCTAATAATGGAACCAAGGTTGAGAAGGATGATATTCGCAGAGAGGCGTGTCTTTACTGGAGAGATCCCGAGAGAGCTCCTCGCCTGAATAAGTAAATGTAAGAAAAGGAATATTAGAATAATGTACACAAGACACCGTGCCATCCGGCCGACGCATGTAGAAATACTGAGCGTCCTACTTAGAGCCTGAATATTTGTTCTGTGGGCACAGATCTGTCTTCGGAGAGCATGTGAAGAGATGAAAGCCTTCATAAATCACATACCCCACCGTGCTCTACATGTAGACGTTTCTACATGCAGGCTCACCATTATTGTCATTTATTGGCTATCGACAACTACCTACCACCCAGCGATTGGAGCAGATCTTCCATGTTGCTGCGCATTTGTGGCTGTGCGGCAGCCACTAACAAGACCCAAGGGCGCATTGGTGCCGTTCGTCGAGAAATCAGGCTGCAGTTTTGTCAATATATGATGACCCGCAACCGCTAATCGCTGTCCATGGGAACAGCTGAACCTGGCTGGCTCATACATCTCCAGTGCTTTCGTCTTGCAAGCTTTAAATAAAGCTGGGACACTGTAGGACAACTTTACCCGCTACATTGAAAACACGAACGTCATTCAAGGAAGCCAAAGTTCAAAAACACAACAAAGTCGAAATGTTAGCTGCTTTCTCTAACGATCAGGCCGGGATCTCTCACCAGGGCGGCATTCAAGTGCAGAGCTCAGCGCTCCCGCTTCGTCCGCGAGTTACTTTGGGAAAGCCAGATACAGAAGACTTGGATAGATCGAGCGGGCTCATGAAAGGCGAAGAAGATTGGACAAAGATTTCGGATCTGGCAGAGCGCCGAAGGATACAAAATCGAATAGCGCAAAGAAACTACAGTAAGTAGATGAGAGGAGTTAATCAGTCATTATAAAATCAGACATTCGTTAACAGATATGCAGGAAAGAAGCTGGAGAGAAGGCTTGAAGATCTGGAAAGAAGAGCATGTGATGAAGGACAACTTACTCCGGCAGAGACACCTTCATCCAGCAAGTACGACAACGAGTGCTTATCGCACTCTAGTCCAGCCTCAGACGTCGCATACATGTATCCGTCTCCTTCCGAAACACCTAAATCTTGCAACATATGCCCACTACGATATGCCGATCAGGAGCTTTCCTTTTCACCGATCGCCGATGAAAGTGACGACAAGAGCTCATCATCTTCTGAAACCTCAGAAGTAGCACCTACATATGCTTTGCCATCAGGTCATCGATTTCGGTCGGTTAAAAAACTGCTAGTAGAGGACTGTCTTAGCAATTTCTTGAAATGGCAAACCTGTCCCCAGAGTTCCAATAAGCGAACAGCGAATCCTCCGGCAACACGAAATCAGCAATCAAGCAAGAGGTCCAGGCTATACGAGAAGTCGAACGACAGGAACGACAATGAGGGCAATGGAGGAAATGGGGAGGGGGAAGATTCTGACGCAAAGATTGTGGGCGGCTCAACAAAGACTCCGTCCAACAAAAGCAGAAGCATCATTCTTGCTTGCCCCTTTTACAAGGAGAATCCTTTGAAGCATTTTCAGTGCCTCAGAATCGAACTCAAAAGAATCAAAGACGTCAAACAGCACCTCAATCGAAAGCATCGTCAACCGTCATATTACTGTCCAACATGCTGGATGATCTTCGACCAGCCAACGGACCGAGACATCCACATTTCTCAACGCGGGTGCTCTCTACAAGATCACGTCGGTTATGAAGGGATCTCCGAAGATCAAAGCAGACAGCTCACTCGGAAAGTAGACAGACGACTATCCGAGGAACAGCAATGGTACAGTGTGTGGGACATTGTGTTCCCTGACGTGCCACGTCCAGAGTCGGCATACCTTGGAAACCAGATCGAGGAGTCTATGGTCATGATCCACGACTACTGGGATGCGAACGGAAGGGCTCTAGTATCTGATGCTCTATGGGAGCGAGGGCTGATACCAGAGCCAAACGTTTCAGACGATGAAGGAGAGCTTGAGAGCTTCCTGGCCGAGACGCTGGAATCTGTGGTGGAAGAGTTGCTGGCGTCTTGCCGGATGCAGATTGCGGCGAGTCTGTCTCGGTCAAATCTTCATCGTCACGAAGGATCGTCGGCTACGAAGAGGACCTCATCTTCAGATTTTGGTGATAAAACGCAAAGCCACGACACGAGTGGGCAGGACCAACGAACAGTCGATCTTGCCCATGTGGGTCAAAGTACCCTGGCGTATGGAACACTCACGGCGCAAGAATCTGCCGTTGATTACAGTTTTCTGACCGGTCTTGAAATGGTTGAGCCCGTAACAGGTCACGGCACGCAGTCTTTCCCTGAGGGGACACAATTCAGCATGATGCACAGCTGGTCTACGAGGGAAGAGGGTATTGCGGAGTTTGATGACCAGAGTTGGGAGCTATTAGGCGATATGACCGACTTCTCGCAAGTTGAGAGGTCATAGTGGCAAAGTTCTTTGCGGGTTGTCTTGCTGTAATTGAGTACTTTTCAGAGCGGATGGGCGCTTCAAATGAACGTGCAAATGTTGCGCTGGGTAATAAAATACATGTAGGTACTCGGAGTTGAGACGAACGGAGAAGGTCTACGTGATCTCGGAGTCGTGCCCTCGGTGTCTCAGAGAACAAATCCAACTTCGCGACAATGTGACTACGCAATGTACCTTTAGTGCCATGTCTGCTGCGAAGACAAAATCTTTATGTTGGTTGTGAGACATTGGAATCACCATGGTCTTCGTTTTGGCATTGGAGAATTCGCTGTTTTTTTTCAAAATATTTAACATCACTAAATGCATGTAGACTCTGTGGCAGTACAGAAGCCGACGCTAAAACCTTGTTACGACGTCCTTATGTAAAGTCTTTTTTGGCCTGATATGTCACTAAGAAGAATCATATAAGGCCGATCATACATACAGTTTCGTGTCCCGACGTAGTTGTTTGCCTTCTACATGTACGCGTTGATTAGATAGGCATAATACTGCATGTGTGAGGGGCATGTGGGTGGCATGCCGCCGCTGGCACAGGCGCATGTTTGAGTCGAATGCGACGCGCAGTTGAGCGTCTCATCTACTGCTCATCCCACCTCATCTTACCCTTCACTCTCAGCTTTCTCTTACTTCCTCTCTCAACCTTATTGAGGCTCATCACGTTATTTCATTCCCAATTATCATTCCCCCGAAATTCTCACAGCTGATGACTGAAAACGTCTCATTTGAAATGAATTGAGCTAGCTGCGGGTCTCCGAGACATCCCCGAGGTCGGAGGGGCCCTGGAGACGGAGCTGGTGCCCCGCGGCTGTTTTTAGTGTTTGACTCATCGTTTTCAGGAGTGAGAAAACCAAAGGCTACTAATGAGAATCTCCGAGTGTGAAAGAGTCAACATCCCTTCAAGTTCGACCAAACGCCCCTTTTCAACCCAATCAACCAACCCATAAATCAGACATTCAACATGGCTCCCGCCTCTCACGACCATATCCTGACGCTCTCGTGCCCGGACAAGTCCGGCATCGTCCACGCCGTGACGGGGGTGTTTGCGGCCGAGAAGCTCAACATCCTGGACCTCCAGCAGTTCTCCGACCCCGTATCGGAAAAGTTTTTCATGCGTGTGCACTTTGGGCCGACCGAGTCCGAGTCGACGGAGCACCTCAAGGGCCCGTTCGACGCCCTCGCCGCCGATCTCCAGCTGGACTGGTACCGCATCCGGCCCGTCGCCCGGAAGCTGCGCACCCTGATCATGGTCTCCAAGATCGGACACTGCCTCAACGACCTCCTCTTCCGCGCCAAGTCGGGCCAGCTGCCCATTGACATCCCCCTCATCGTCTCCAACCACAACGAGTACCAGGGCCTGGCTGGCAATTACGGCATCGACTTCCACCATTTGCCTGTCAACAAGGACACCAAGGCTGAGCAGGAGGAGGCTATCCTGCGTCTGGTCAAGGAGAACGACATTGAGCTCATCGTCCTGGCCCGCTACATGCAGGTCCTGTCCCCCAAGCTGTGCGAGGCCATGTCCGGCAAAATTATCAACATCCACCACTCCTTCTTGCCGTCTTTCAAGGGCGCGAAGCCCTACCACCAGGCCTACGAGCGCGGTGTCAAGATTATTGGCGCGACGGCTCACTTCGTCACGGCTGATTTGGACGAGGGCCCCATCATTGAGCAGCGTATCGCTAGAGTCGACCACTGCATGAGCCCCAAGGATCTGGTCGAGGAGGGATCCAACATTGAGAGCCAGGTTCTGGCTGCCGCAGTCAAGTGGACTGCCGAGGGACGCGTGTTCCTCAACAAGACCAAGACGGTTGTTTTCAATTAGGTATCAAAAAGGACAGGGCATTCTGAAAGGAAATGATAAATAAAAGTTGGTCTTTTTTCCTGCACCCCGAGATATCCATCTACTTCACATTATTCTGCTCTCTTGTCTCCGTCTCCCTTCTCTGGAATATTTCCCTTCTCTCCTTTCTCATGACGACCCCAGTTGCCACCAGGTAACTCGAAAACCAATTCGCTGAAACCAATGCTGCTATTCGTTGGCGAATTGAAAGGCGACGGTAACTCTTGAGGCTGTTGCTCGCCCAAGGCGGACTTCCGGTCATGGTGCTCTAGTTCTGATATTGGCACCCCTTTTCCATCCATTTCAGCCTTGCCGCCAGTGAAGATATCCGCATCATGTAAGCCACTTCCGCTTCCACTTTCGTTTTTGTGTTCTTCGTCGGAATTTCTCTTTCTCCGAGCCCGCCAGCAAAGGAACCATATGATGGCCACCATCGCAACCAAACCACATCCACCCGCGACTGCGATTCCTGCTATTGCACCTGTTCCTAATCCGCTTGGAGAAGCGGAGTTGACGCTGCTCGTCTCGGAGGGTGGGCCTGATGTCGCTCCAGTTCCTGCCTCCACCTCTGTCCAATATTCCCGCCAGGTATCGACAAAGGTATCCGCAGGTCTCGACCGTAAGTCCTTGGTGTTATCCTGGACAATGAGCTGTTCTGACATTCCTGGACCGGGTGCTTGTGCCATGAAAAAGCGTTCTCGGTCATAGTTGAATCCCGTAAAAGCACCTTGCAGAAAAGCTCGGCCTAATGTGTATCGGTTCAGTGACGAGGAAGCCACGATATCCGATTCGGTCCATGGTTTGCAGGGCCAGTATGTATCCACTCCCCAGTTCACATGATTCTCTCTGATGGGCATGCGATCTATCGTAAGATTCAATAACCTGAAGGGAATCTTTATGGTGATATTTTTGGAGTTTTCGTCTGTAAATACGAAAGCCATGGAGGCTGGAGAGTTGACGAAGCGGGTGGTTCTGACCGGATCTGAGTGAAACTCCCACACATACAATCCGATTTCTGGTACCCAGCGGACGGGCAAGTGAGATGCAGCAGCCTCGCATACCTCCGGTGGAAGATACATGTAAGGGGCAGCAGCATTTGGCAGGACCATAGCAGACCCAGCGGGGCCACCGTACTTGTTGGTCATACTTTGGACGGCGGCAGGGAGACTTTCACTTTGCCATACGCTTCCGACAGTTGTGTTGTATGGAGATGGTCCTGCTTCGAAGTCGAGAAGTACATCCACAAGTATCACCCGAGGGAGGGTGGAATCTAGGCGGAAAGTCCCCACGTCTCCTAGAATGCGGTTTTCCTCATAGCCCCCCAATATCAGCGACCCTGTCTGGCCCAATGCGACGCTTCCCAAATGCATGTACCAAGAGCTATTGGCGATGAAATTTTCCGACGTCATTTGGTCGGTGATGCTGTAAGGAGTGTTGGAGTTGGAATCATCGTAACTAAGCTCATCGCCCAAGCCAATCGTTCCGACGGGGGCGGTTCCATTCGAAATGTTCGAGTATGCCGTCGGGTACAAATTTGGGTTGTAAATGTCGATGGTAATGTCGGCCCAATAACTCCTTTTTACGTCGTTCATGCGTGAAAGCAGGTTCGTGCGCTGTCGATATACCTTGCTCATGGCATTCTTGTCAAGTCCGAGTGGCCAGTCATCCATGAGTGCGACGGCGCTGGAGTTTGATTTGAGGACGCTTTCTCTGGATGCAGTACCGTTGTAGGTTCCCCCCTCTTCCACAGAAATCATCATGCTGTCCGTTGACCCGGTCGGCCAGAGAAAGTAAGCGATAGACCCATGATCAAGGGATCCCGGCGTGTCCGAAAGCCCTATTGCTCGCCATGGTCCATCTGGGCCAAATGAGCTTGAATTGACCCCTAATTCAGGGTCCGTCGACCAGTAAAGGCGACGGTATTGGCTTCTCACGCCTGTTAACCACGAGAGAATAACTACGAAGAATATGCCGACGCGCATCTCGACAGGTAAAGTCGATAGTGACGTTGAGGAGAGATTTCAACTACCAGATAACAACTGATGGCTGGTAAGAAATAAGGAGAGACGGGGGATGTCCTTTGGCAGCCCCAGGAAGGGGTCGAGAGGGCGGGCCAACGAAGCAAAATAGCATTCCCCTCTTAGTCTAGAATAACTTTCTGCAGGGATATCTGTATTACGTTGTCGTAGAACAGAGTAATCTCCCTTAAGCCTCGGAGGCGATGTTGCTTGGATTGTTTTGAGTTGCATATGCATGTTGGAGCAGACAAAGCTGTTGGTTGGGCGGAGTAGGCTTGGCCGCCCCGTCACCGTGACTGGGCCTGCGCAGTGTGTGACAAACATCACGGGTAGCAAGAGGCTTCTGTTAAACGTCAAGAGTACTTGGTGATCAAGTCTACAGGCTCAAGGCGGAAAAGCAAGCTGATAGTCAGGGGGTCGGTATCTTGGCAGGCTGCGGCGTAAAGCTGCATGTTGGTCCAGGCTTTTATACGGAGAAATATGGACGGAAATTGCCTAAGTTGGTTATCTCTTGGGTTCGATGGCATCATAGGAGTCTTACATATTCCTATAGAAGGCCAAACAAGTTCTCCTGCATGTCTGTACCCACCCATCTTTGTCCTGTACCCTGCCGTGTCTGCTCAGCTCTCGACCCAATACCTCCGACACTATGCTCTCAAATAGTTCTGTTTTCCGAGAATCATCCATATGATCATTATCTATTCGAAATATTCAGGAGATAAGATGCGTGCTGCGGCTTCCCGCGCTACAGTGCCTCATAGTCTGAAGATAGCGGTGAAATTTGTATCACGAGGCTGGTTGGCGAACGAGTAGGCACGCCGCACAAGTGATCGACGTCACCGAAAGAATAGAAAGGAGCATGCAGCTAACCGCGCCGCAATCGTACTTGTCAAGAGAGTTCTAGTGATAAATCAACAGACCCGTATGCTCCAATAATAGAATCAACTTTGAGCTAAGGGTAGTCCTCCCTTCCTTTTGCATCTAAGCATGCGGCCGAGAAAGCTCTTATGGCCGATAAAGGCGGAACCCGGCCACAACAACATCTAATCTATAGAGTCCGATGTTCTATGTCAAGTACTTGGAAAAATGTTTATCGTACGCCTATCACGCCCACTGCTACCATTAGCCTTAAAAAGAGGACGGAGAAGTAAAATTCTCACTATTAGAAGTGAGGGATTTGGCTAGCAATTTAGAGCCGGTAACGTAAAGTTACGTTACCGACTTAGTAATACGGCTAGCTAGTTATAATAAATATATTAATAAAAGTTAAGGCTATAAAGGCTAAATAAATAATATTATAATCGTAAATAGCTTTTTTAAAGCTATAATTATAAATTATAAAATAAATAAAGCTTCGGTAATTAATTATAATCTTATTAAAAAGGGTTTTTATTAAAAATAGCTAAAAGCGATTATAAGATTTAATACTAAATTAATTACTAAAAAAACTATAAAAAGTCTATTTTTAAGCCCGGTTTAAATCTATATTATATATAAGTCTCGTTCTTAAATATATCCTTTATTTTATATATATTCTATTTATTAATAATTACTAAATAGATCTTAATAAGCGCTTACTTAGAGTAATTACTATAATTACTTTATTACCTAATTACCTTTTTATTTATATATAACTTATTTTATAGTTCTTCTATTCTTTTAAATAATATATTTATTTTATTTAACGTATATATAGTATATTATAATTATTACGGGCCTATGGGGCGGGCCTTAGTCTTAGTTATATATATTAAATCGTAATATTAGGTCTCCTTTTTAAAGGTCTAGTTTTATAAATTTATAAATAAATCGATAAGTTCTTTTATTAATTCGTTTAAACTTATTTAAAAATATTATTAAAATATCCGCTAGTTCTTTAACTTATTATTGTTTTAAACTAATTTTTAAAATAAAAGAGCGCGGTTTTAAAATAATTATATTATATTTATATTATTACTCCGTTAATTAAAAGTATAAAATACTTAAAGAAAAGTTAATATATTATAAATATATTCGTTATAATCGTTTTTATAATACGTTAGTTAGTGCGATTTATAATTATAAATCTTTTTTTTAGCTATTAAATTCTTTATTTTATTAATAAATAAATAATAAATTATTTCTTAATTAAAGCTAATTATTTAGAGTATAAAAAAAAAGCGAATGAGCTTCTTTTTTATAAACGAGCGGAGGCTTTACGTCGGGTATAGGTTAAAATAGATAAATCTTTATTAAAATTAGATTATTTAAAAAAAGCGAAGAGGATAGTTTTTAAAAAGGGGAGGGCTATCCCTAGTCCTTTTAAAAAGGTTCCCGAGGAGTTTATAATAATATAAAAAGCCTAATTTAATAGCGCTTTTAACGTAATCGACTAGGATATTATAATAACTAAGAGTTCTAGTTTTAACTTTAATTTTAATACTCTTTTAAAAATTATTAAGAGTTCTAGAGGTTTATAATAAGTTCTTATATATTTTCTTTATATTTATAGTTTTTCTATTTAATTAGGAATTTTATATTTCGTTCTTAACTTTATAATTAATAATTTATTTAACTTTATATTTTAATTTATTACATTCAATAATAACGTAATTTTCTATATATAAACCTTTAAATACTAGTTTAAAAAATAAAATATAAAAAACTAAATAATATTTTATTATATCTAAAAGTCTTAATTCGTAATTAATAAATAAAACTTTTTTAGTATTTTTAAAAGGTCTAAGTTTTTTATAATTTAATTTATTATTTAGTTATTTTATTTTAATATTATAATAAAAAAGATAAGTACTATCCCCCTTTTTTAAAATTAGTCCTCTAATCCTAAATCTATCCGTATTTCTTTTTATATATTAATATATAAATTTAAAATTTAAAAATACTTTCTTTTAAAGTTTTTTAAGTTTTATAACGTCTATTATAGCTTTTATAGTTTATAATCTTTATTATACTTCTCTATATACTATTAATTAAAATCCGTAATTAAAATAAAATAGGGATTCTTTTATACTTTTATTAACTATACTATTATATATAAATTAGGCTATTAATAATAATACTATTTAGTTATTTTAATCGTAGTTTATATAATAAAAGAAGTATATTTTAAGAATTTAGTTAATTCTTTTTATTTAACTATCGGTTTATAAATAAAAAGAGGTTAATAGTTTATAATTTATATTAAATTACGAAATTAAAGATCTCTAAAACTTTAAAATAAATAGAGAGCCTCTATTAAATACTATTTCCTTTAATATACTATAATTAATAATAACGACTTTAAAAAACGTATATACTAACTCCTCTATATTACTAGCTTTTTTATATAATATAAAATAAATAAATTTAATAAATTAGTTAACTATAACTAAAATATTATCGTATTATATATTCGTAAATAATTCTTTAAACTTTAATAGTTTAACGATAAAGTCTTATAAAATTAATTACTATACTTCCGTTAATAATAATAATAATTATAGCTCGCTATAGGGCTTATATAGGCTATTTTTATTTTTTTTATAAGTCGCGTAGTTTTTAATTACTTTTATAATTTTAATATATATAGCGGATTTATTATAATATTATTAAATCCGTTTTTATGTTTTAATAACTCTTTAATAACCGTATATAAATATATTATAAATTTTTATAATAAGTTTAGGGGTTATTCTTTTAATCGGGCTAGTATTAATCTTTCTAACTATTATAAAAAGCTTTATAGTTAATATAAAACTACTATCTTTTTTTTTATTTAAAAAATATCTTATATTTTTTTAAAGACTGCTACTTTATAATTAGGTCTTTTATTAAAAGCGTCTGCTCTATTATTTTCTAAACCTTTTTAATAAATATTTTGAAAATTATATTTAAATAGGAATTCGCTCTATTTAACTTATTTTTTATTTAGATTTTTATTTATTATAAAGTTTATAAAGTTTTTATAATCTATATAAACTATAACTTCGTACTTAGTTCTAAATAATTATAATTTCTATTTTTAAAATACTTCGATAATAGCTATTAGTTCTTTATTATAGATTTATTAATTCTTCCGGCTTTATAAGCATAAAAGATCGACCTTAACGGGATTAGGCTTTTAAAAGAAATTATATAATATAATATACTTTTTAACTATATAATACGCGCAATATACTCTAAGTACGCGCTTAATTTAGTATAATGATTTCGATATAAAAACCGCTATATAATTCGGGATAAATAAGCTGCCCTACGCGGCGATAGTAATTAAAAAGGTCGACTATAGAGGTCGGCTATAGAGGTCGGCTATAAAGGTTAGAGGCGGCCCTTAACTATAGAGGTTCTAAACTTTAATAGCGACGTAAAGGTTTTTAAAAAAAGGGCTAAAAAGGCTAATATTTAGTTACTCTTTTACTATATTAAAGCTCGCAAAGATTCTTTTTATCTTTATTACTTCCTATATTATTTATAAACTTCTCTCTATTTAAACTAAATAAACTATTAAATAAACCTATTAAACGAACCTATTAATATATAAACTACTAGCTAGGTAACTAGTTAGATAACTAGTTAGAACTAGCTAAGAGTCCGGCTAGTTAAACTATATTAACGAGAACCTACTTTAAGTTAGTAATTAGTGAGCTAATAATACCCCTCGATAAGTCTACCCCCCTTAAACTAGGCCCCTTCTTTAGCCGGCTCGACGCTATAGCTATTATAACTAATGTAAATATATTTAAAAAGTAGCAAAGTACTTTTTAATAATACAGAATTTAACTAAGCGATAGTATAAACGTTATAAATAGCCGGGCTAATATTAATACTAAAATTTAATATATTAACGCTAGTTTAGTTATAATAGCCGAGATAAATAGGCTAGAAGTATATAGGGTTAGGGCAATAAGCTAGTATTTAAAATAGCTTTTATAAGCCCCCCCGGGCAACGATAATACCTATATAAAAGAAGAGATTATATTAGACTTAGTGTTACGGCTAGCTAGTTGTAGTAAGTATATTAATAGAAATTAAGGCTGCGAAGGCTAAATAAATAATGTCGTAGTCGTAGGTAGCTTCTTTAAAGCTATGTTTATAAATCGTAAAGTAGGTAAGGCTTCGGTAATTAATCGTAGTCTTATTAAAAGGGGTTTTTAGTAAAAATAATTAAAAACGATTGTAAGATCTAATATTAAGTTAATTATTAAAGAAGCTATAGGAAGTCTATCTTTAAGCCCGGTTTAAGTCTATACTATATATAAGTCTCGTTCCTAAATATATCCTTTGTTCCTTAGGTTATTCCCGATTAATCTAATCTATAATAATCGTTTAGCCCCTAAGTCGTATTAAATTATTCTAATTTAGAATAATCCTTATTTTATCTTATCGTTACGTAACTTATCTATAGTTCTTTTGTTTTATAAAGAGTAGTCGTATCCCTATTTTACTTATATATATAGTATACTTAGCCGCTATGGCTAGTAAACTAGTTTCTAAGTTAGTTATACGTATTAAGTTATAATATTAGCTTCTCCTCTCAAAGGTTTAATCCCGTAGACCTATAAATAAATAGTCGTGGCCTAGGTTAAGGTCCGTTAAATTTTATTTTTATAATATCCTAATACTATATTAGGTCGTATTTAAAAATCCGATTTTTATAAAGCCCGTTGTAATAAAATTAAGCGTAATCGTTAGGCTCTTAATATTCTTGTAAAATATAGAGGTTATAATATAATACCGTATTCTCTTTACTTTTAGTATAATTACGTATATAAAATAGACTTATTTAATTTAAAACGTTATAATAAATACGTTACTCGTAATTTAATGAATTATAATAATAATAATATAGTGAACGTTTATAAATTTCTTTTTTATTTATTATTTATAATACTAACTTATTATAGTAAATCGTTATTTTAAAAAATAAAAAAAGGTAGAGCGTAAAGAGTAAAAGGCCGAAGAGGCTTTAGAGGTATTATAGACTTAACTAGTAATTACTTTAAGTCGTTTATCTTATTTAAAGAAATAGAAAAGGTTTTTAAAAGAGCGTAGTTTAGATTTTATCCGTTATAAAATATAGTTTATTAAAAAATAGGAGGCCGAGGAAAGGTTTTTAAAAGCGTAAAAGATATGTATTATAAAGGATTTAGCTGCTTAGGGTGCTCTAAATAAAACCGACTAGTCTTCTTTTAATATTAGTTTTATAAACTTAGAGCTTTTAGCTATAAATAAGCTTTCCGGGGCCTAGTCGTTTTTTTATAGTTATCGAGGAGCTATTGAGCGTTTTAAAGGTTATTGTATAGTTCCTATATATTTTCTTCGTATCTGTAATTTTTCTATTTAATTAGGAATTTTTATATTTCGTTTTTAATTTTATAATTAATAATTCGTTTAACTTCGTACTTTAGTTCGTTAGGTTCTACGATAATATAATTTTCTATATATAAACCTTTAAGTATTAGTTTAAGAAGTGAAATATGAAAGACTAGATAACACTTTATTATGTCTAGGAGTCTTAGTTTATAATTAATAGGTAAGACTTTTTTAATAATTTCGAAGGGTCTAAGTTTTTTATAATCTAATTTATTATTTAGTTGTTTTATTTTAATGTTATAGCGAAAGAGATAGGCGCTATCCCCCTTTTTTAAAGTTAGTTTTTAATCTTTAATTTATCCGCGTTTTTCTTTATACGTTAATATATAAATTCGAGGTCTAGAGATACTTTTTTTTAGAGTTCTTTAAGTTTTGTAACGTCTATTACTGCTTTTATAGCCTATAGTCTTTATTATGCTTCTCTATATACTATTAGCTAGAATTTATAGTTAAAGTAAAACGGGGATTCTCTTATACTTTCGCTAACTATACTATTATATATAAATTAGGCTATTAGTAATAATATTACCTAGTTATTCTAATCGTAGTTTATATAATAACGGAGGTATATTTCGAGAATTTAGTTAATTCTTT